TAGGTACTTGGTATGGGCAGCACATCAAAAACCTTTAAAGCAATTATAAGCCATAGTAGCAATCATGTGTAGTACAATCAAATGTCCGTTTAAAACAATCCCTTTAAAGCCCACATATTTGGCTGAAACCGGTGTTATAGCCCCGAAATCCTATTCCCTAGGTGAGCAAGTAGCCTAGTCTCTACAATCCACAGAATCGGCACTGTTGTGTGGTTGCTCTGATGATGCCATTTGCTACACACGCCATAAGCGCTTATTCTCTTCAGCTTAGTTTCATTTTAGTTCAGTTCTTAATTTCCTTCTCTCATAAAATATTCGTTTCAGCTCTATTCAATTCAGTTCAGCTTCAATCAGTTCAGTAAATCAAAACAGCCCATAAGTACATATTGTCACGAAATATGCATCTTGTCTCCACAAACCAATACAAGTTCTTGCGACACACTTTGTCCTAATTCTTTCACTAATGATGAGCAAATGATGGATGAAGTGAGTGACAGATTAGAGCTTTAACCTTTGAGTTGTAAACCTTTAACTGTTATGCAATCTATGCGTTCAATTATTTTTTTAATGGTTTTATCAAACTATTGGATGTTTATTTGTCATCCCCATGTTTGAATTTCTTGACTTTACCAGATTTGAAATTGGTTATTTTTAACTTCTTTTTACACCTATTTGAAACCCTCCATAGTACGAAGTAGAGCTGTCAAAACTGACCCGACCCAAAATATAGACCTAAACTCTATTATTGACCGACCCATCTGAACCAGAAAAAATGTGACCCAAACCCGACTTGACCCGACCTGAAACCAACCCTAGACCCGAGTGTTTGAGACCCAAACCCAACATGAATCAACCTGGAGATAACCCGACCCGAATGTAACCCGTAAATTATTGACCTGAACCGAATACAACTTAAACCGAAATTGACTCAAACCCGTTTTAACCCGTCAAAATCAGAATTTAACCCGACCTATTACTAACCCGACCTAAATACGACCCGATTCGTTCCTTACCCGACCTATGACTAACCCAACTCGAAATTCAACCCGACCCGATATCAACCTGACTTGTTATTGGCCCGACCCAAGTTCAGATCAACCCGACTTGTTATTGACCCGACACGAATTTTACCCGACTTATTACTGACCTGACCCAAAATTCAATCCTATCTGTTACTAACCCGACCCAAAATCAACACGACTTGTTATTGACCCAACCTAAATTCAACCCAAATTGTTCCTAATCTGATTTCAAATCACCTTAAAATCAATTTAGACCACCTTATTATTATTGATCAAAGCATTTTGTCTAGGGAGACCAAGTTGGTCTAGGCCAGCAAAAGAAAGAAGCATCATCCCCAAATTTAAGAGTTAAATATAGTATATATTTGTTGTATGGTCAAAGGAGATAATTATCTTCCTAAATTATAGGCTATAGTTCCATAGTATGTTGCCATATATATTTTTATATTGTCATTACATGAGCTGTTAACAAACTAGCCCAAAAAATGTACACAAACCCAAGATGACTCGACTCAAAATCAACCCAAAAGCCAAATTAACCCAATATTTGAGACCTGAACCCAAACATGACCCGATTTGGAAATGACCTGACATGATCATAACCCGCAAATTATTGACTTGAACCAAACCCGACTTAAACCCAAACATGACCCGACCTGATTGTAACCCGCAAATTATTGACTTGAATCGAACCCGAATTGAACCCGAGAATGACCTGACTTGGAAATGACCCGACCTGAGAATAACCCGCAAATTATTGACTTGAACCGAACCCGACTCAAACCCGAAGATGACCCAACCTGATTCTAACCCGCAAATTATTGACTTGAACCGAACCCGACTCAAACCCGAAGATGACCCAACCTGATTCTAACCCGCAAATTATTGACTTAAACCGAACCCGAATCGAACCCGAGAACTACCCTAACTCGTGAAAACCCGAATTAAATCCGACCTAAATCCGACCCAAACCCGATAAAATGTATGACCGACTCAAGCACGACCCAACTCGAACCCGACCCGCATAGGTTCCGGTATTAACCCGAATTGACCCGATTCGAGTTGACTCGACCCACTCTTACCCAACTCAAACTCGACACGTTTACTCGAATTGACAACTCTAAATTACGAAGTATAAAGATTTCAATTTAATGTAAAGAACACCAATAGTCCAATACAAGTATGAAGTAAGCAAGGGTTAGAAAATTAAACGGGTAAACTTGCCAAACATACCTTCCAAAGTTATGGTTAGATATTTACCAATTTTGATGATGAAGTTTGACGAAAACTCTAATGCTACGCTACGTACTACATACGTAGTGTGCCTAGCTGGCTACATTCCAGATGGATTAAGGGTGTAATTAATTAATTAAATACTTCGTAATTTTTAACTTGATTACGTCACTTCTAAGGTTCCATTAGCCACATAATTATGTTTAAATTAGGTACGATAATACTATTACGTGACGGCTCAAACCTTAATTACTAAACTTCACTATCTTATCTTTAGAAAATCAAATAAAAAATAGCCAAAAAAATCAAGCAATTTAATGATGACATCTAAACAACATGAACATCAACTTGCTGTTATTGTTGTTGCTTTGCTTGTTGGAGTGTTTACGTTGACTAGTCTTTCGCTCAATCATGCATTACATTTTTTTGTAATCCGTGGTTTATACACACGGGTGTACAGTGCTCATCGTACACCCGGATAAATAAAAAAAGGCGGAAAGAACATCCTGTGTTTCATAAAGAACATACATGTATTTGACAAAGAACATGTTTGTATTTGACAAAAACATGCATTACCAAAGAACATAAAGATATAATAAAAAGAACGAGATAAAAACTTGATAAAATTTTCTGAAAAATTACACATTATTAACGTGAAAAATTTAGAGGTGATAAAAAATCGAGTAGGGCCGGGCCATATCATAATTTCTTGTGCCCAAACCCGTAGAAAAGTAGCGGGTTTTCGGGCTTTTTTCGAACCCGGTTCGAGTTTTAACTAAAAATGTATTTTTAGCTTTGCCCAAACCCACCCTATTTCGGGCCGGATCGGGTCGGGATGCGAGTCATGCCAATGTTGATCACCTCTTAAAAAATCCTTACCAAAGATATCATTTCCCCAAAAAATAGTTTTCTATCTCTCCAAAAAAAATTCAACTTCCCATAATAATTTAGTTTTTTTTTTTTACTCTAACATTATTTTCAATTAAAAATAATTTAAGATTTCAATATCAAATTTCAAAATACCATATGTTAAAAGAACATAATTTATATTGTAAAGTACATATAGTTAATACCTAAATAACACACTAATCAAACTCAAAGAATATACGATAATAAAAGTAATTTAAATATGACATATGATATAAAAAATAGAATTTGGGAGTCACTACGACCTTAAAGAACATACACGCCAAATTCAAAGAACATACTTTGTATTATTAAACCCAAAAAAAATATATGTTTATCAACATATGTTAAATAACATAAGTTATAATATAAAGAACATATAATTTTACTCAAAGAACACACTGATCACACTCAAAAAACATATTAAAGGTATGTTCTTTGTCAAACATAGGTATGTTCTTTATCAAACACTATATGTTCTTTCCGCCTTTTTTTGTTTACCCGGGTGCACCATGAGCATGGTGCACCCGGGTGTATTATCTAATTTTCAATTTTTTTGGACATACCACACTTACATGTCCATTTAATTTATGCATATATGCTCACTTAATCTGGTAAGAAAATGGAAACTTCAGTGAGAATGACACATACATTTGTTTTGCCACTTTTGCGAATACAACATTCGTGAATGACTAGCTGTAAGGAGTGTCAATTCAAATGTCAGGATCGGGTGTGGTGAAGTCGGGTTGGGTCAGGTCAGGTAAATTTTTAAAGTTGAGTCACACTAAATTGTTGTCTCCATGCAAGTCTAAATCTGAATCAGATATTTTACGCGTCGATTTTGGATCGGGTTAGGGGAGAGGGAGTCCACTTTACTTGACCAAGAATATTTTTTTACTTATAACCATATACTCAAAGTAATGAAGGCAGTAGTGCACTAGACTAATAAATTAAATGCAACTGTCTTTTTATACAGATATTTACATGTGTTGTTTTATGTATAGAGCCAGAGTTATTGGATAATGTTAACAGTCTTTTTTAAATAAATCCGATTTAACATATATGCTTGAAGAATGAGTCGATTTAACATATATGCTCGAAGAATGAGTCAAAATTGGAAGATAGCTGGTTTTATTTTCATCTTTGTAATTAAGTTAATGATGCCAACCAATGCTTGTTGATGTTTGTTTCATAATGAAGATTGAAGAAGATGGAGATCTATTACGAGTTATTGCTATTGCTTAGCCGCCGAAGATTTGGAGATTGATTGTCAAACATCATGAAAAATACGGAGTAATAAAGTTTTAGGAATTTTTGAAGTGCAAAGTACTATGTAATACATTCGTTAATTGTTATGTACAACTTTAGGGTATTATTTATGAGATATTAAATATTCTAAAGTTGCACATAATATTTAACGGAGGTAGTATATCATTATCCTTTATAATGGACCAATGTCCAATCTGACAAGCTCAAGTTGAGTGGAGAAATAAAGTAACAAAGGACAAAGAAACATTAGATTGTGAACGACTGTCTGGGTCAAGCTCATTTCCAAATTCCAACCAAGCTTGTCTTTGACCTTATTGGTAAAAACATTGCCGGTTCCTGCTGGACCTAAGAGTCCCAAGACAAGCTAGCTTACCTTAATGGCCAAGTGACCAACCAATAGGCGCAATCTCATGAATAACTTGATTTTGTAAGGATAATCATTATGAGGTCAGTTTTGTCAGGTCTATTTGTAACTAAAAGTTATTCGACTTATAATATACAAAGTACTGATATATCGATAAAAATAAGCATGTGTAGTTGATCATTCTCATATGCTGGACAAGTACGAAAGGCCTGGAAAGCTGTGTAATAATTTGAATAGTTGTATGTTGTTATAATACAATGAAATTAGCTTTCAATTATGGGCTAGTGTTGACAGAATTAGATTGATGAATGTCAATTTGAAAAACGCCTCTGAGAGTTATGACAAGTCAATTCCAGCAACTGTAAAGTGCTGTCGAAAGTGGCTTCTTTTGTGTGCCTCGAGAGCCTCCAATGCAGCACAGCATGAGTTCGGGTTGCTGCATTTGATTAACCTTTGACTCAACTTTTGGAATTTTTTTTCTGAAGTTATGCTCATCTATTCTTCAGGATCTCACTTTCTAATGAACAATACCCTTGTAAACTGATACCCCGTATCAATGTATCATGAGCTTGAAGGAAACTATGTTAATAATACAAGTCCCTAACATTTTCCTCTGGTTTAGCATGGTTTTCTGCAACTGCAATCTCTTAAATCAACCAATTCACCAGCCCAAAACTGAGCTTGATGGTTCTCTCGCAAAATTTTCAGTTTTCTGACAAAAGATGACCAGCTTGTTTTTCCCCTCACAATCCCCCCTACAGTACAGTTGCTTTTGCGCTGGATTGGCAAATACTTGCTTCCTTAGTTCCTTGGGCTTCTTATAGATTATTCGTGTTTTGCCTCAGATATTTCAGCAACACTACTACACAGCTAAATTACCAATATGCAACTTGTAACACCAAAACTCTGACTCCGCCTCTACCTTGTCATTCCCATATCCAACTAGTTTTTGACAACTTAGAACGATATGGATACCTGCATGTTGAGCATTGGAAAATAATTATGACAAGCTATCTCTGTATATCTATCAAATATTTCTAAAGGGTTAAAGCTTTAGAAGAGTTTGAGTAACGCAATTAAGGGGAAGTTAATCTTACAGATGAATGTCTGAAGCCGATGACAAAAAGCCTTTTCTGATTGGGTCATTTCCAGAATTTTTACATTCCCTCTTCAATGAGTTCAACCACCCTCCTTTACCAACTATACTTACAAAGCATTGGCCTATTGGGTAAGATATCCACAAAACTGAAGCAGAGAGGAATTCAGCTTGGTTATATGTGCAAAAGAATTGTAATAGAGATTGTAAAGCATAGCAGCTGAAGTAATATATCAGCACTCCATACCAATGTACCCCTTCACAGCCGGAGCTTAAGCAGATAATCTTCCCGGCAAGGATGTGTCTCTAGAAAGCCACAGAATTAAATTCGTGTATAGATTCTGGCCCTCCAGGTACTTGAATTACCAGTAATCCTTACATGAACATAAGCCTCCCTCAAAATGATGAAAACGATATGCATCTCTCACAATAATTGTCCGATTTGAGATTTCAGATACACACTTGATCCAATTATGGCAATCAGTACATACACGGAGATTTTTCATGACATGGAGAGGAATTGAGCTTGATGAGCTTATTAGTCCAAAAGCAATAGCAAGTCTCTCACTATGAACATTGACAGCCTGATTCTTCTCTGTATCAAGAAGAAGGCTGTACGGATCTTGCATGTAACCAATGTCAGCTACACGCTTATCCAGTTCTACCAAGAAGTCATATATTTTATCTGCTAGAGGATGAAGATTATCACCAGCGTAAAAGGCATGAATGGCATTATTTACTTCAATCCAACTACGACCTGGCTCCTTCTTCACCCCTCTTTCTTTCATCATTTTCCTGGATTCATCCATACAAGTCCAATTCCTAGTCACTGCATACATATTTGACATGAGAGCATAGGTTGCCGAGTCTTTGGGTTCTAACTCTAACAAATGGCGAGCAGCAAACTCTCCAATTTCCTTGTTCTTGTGAACAATGCACGCCCTCAAAATAGTTCTCCAAATCATTGCATCTGGTTTGAATTGCATATCTTCTATAAACTTTTTAGCACGGCTTAGGTAACCAGCACGACTGAGAATATCAACAACACAAATACAATGTTCTAGTTTGGGTGTCAAATCATATTCTTTGGTCATGGACTCAAAGTACCTTAGTCCCTGTTCCACTAATCCTACATGGCTGCATGCTGATAATACTCCCACAAATGTGACGTGATTTGGTGCCACACCAATCCTTTTCATCTCATCAAAGATTTCCAGGACTTCTTCCCCACATCCATGCTGTGAATACCCAGTGATCATTGCATTCCATGTAACCTCATTTCTGTTCGTCATTTCAGAGAGCACTCTCTTGGCATCATCCAGACACCCGCACTTTGCATAAAGAGTGATCAAAGCATTTGATGCCTCAGTTTCCAAATTATAACCAGATTTAAATAAATTTGCTTGTATCTGCTTTCCTTGTTTAACATTTGCAATGTTAGCAGCAGCACTTATTGTAGCGGTGTAAGTAAACAGATTAGCTTCTATATCTGCTTTATTCATCTGAGTGTATACTTTAAATGCATCTTCAGAGTGCCCAGTTTGTGCAAAACCAGAAATCAGAGAATTCCATGTTATGTTATCTTTCACATCAATTTTCTCAAATGCATGATAAGCATCTTGAAGTCTGCCACATCTAGCGTAAAGGCTCACAAGAGCATTCCGGATTGACTGATCATCAGAGTATCCTAGAATGTACGACTGAGCATGGATTTGCTGACCTTGGTAGAGTGCTTGAATGCCTGCACATGCGCTGATTACATTTGACAATCCTATATTATCTGGTCGGATCCCACGGCATAGCATCTCTTCAAAAATCTTAAGAGCATGAGCATACATTTCATGCTGCCCATATCCTGCAATCATAGCTGTCCAAGAGACAACATCATTTTCAGTAAGCCTCCGGAAAATCTTTTCAGCAGTATCCAGGAATCCATGCTTAGCATACATATCTATAAGCACGCTACAAACATACTCGTTAACCTGAAAGCCTGTTTTAATGACTTGGGTGTGGATTTGTTCTCCCAAATCTGTAGCTCCCGTAGAAGTACAAGTTCTAAGCATGCTTGGATATGTATACTGATTAGGTTCCAGACCTTTCATCTGCATTTGCGTAAACACATGATATGCTTCACTTAGATCACCAACCTGCCCATAAGCTACAAGCATTACATTCCACAGGACCACATTTTCTCTTTTAGTTGTAAGGAAATACTTATGTGCAGTTTCAATATTAGAGCATTTGACATAAAGGTCAAGCAGAGACCCTTCAATGAGCATATCAGAGCAGTATCCTGCCTTCAGTGCATATGAATGAAGTTGTCTTCCCTTATCAAGAGCTCCAATGGAAGCACAAGCACTTACAAGGCTTGCCACTGTAACACAGTCCGGTTTCAGAAAATCTTGCTGCATCTTCTGTAACAAATGAAGAGCTTGATCACTAAGTCCCTTCTGAGCAAGTCCTGAAATAAGTGAATTATATGATACTCCATCCTTCTCCGTCATCATCTCAAAAATCTTGACAGCAGACTTCATGTCTCCCCAGCGAGAATAAAGTGTCACAAGTGCATTGCACACAAAAACTTCAGAGGCAAAACCCCACTTATAAATAAGCCCATGAAGCTCCTGACCAACCTCGAATGACTCTGTCTTACTGCAGGCACTTAAAAGACTTGATAGAGCATATGGCGTGGGTAAAATACCATGTGTATGCATCTCATCACAGAATAGGCGAAGGGATTGTTCCTCCCGTCCATTCTGAGATAAGCCAGATATCATAGCAACCCAAGACACATTATCCTTCTCGCCTACATTGTCAAAAACATATTTTGCAGCATCAATCATTCCATTCTTCGAGTACAAATCAATCAAAGGGTTACACACAAAACGACTACCTTCAAAACCATATACAATTATCTTAGCATGAATCAGCTCAATACAACTAAGATCAATCTTTTCCCTAGAACCTCCACCAAACGCCCTCAACACATTACTAAATGTAAACTCATCAGGATCCACATTCTCCCTCAGCATACGCGAAAACAACCCCAATGCTTCTCTTGACAATTTCTTTGACGCAAATCCCGAAAGAATCCTATTCCATGAAGAAACACATACACTGACACCTCTTTCAAGCATTTCATCAAACAGATTGTGTGCATCCCATAATTGATCATTGACAATATAAAAATCCAGTAAACGACCACATAATCCAATCTCATCAGTAAAACCCGATTTCAAAATCAACCCATGAAGCTTTCTGCAATCAATTATCGACCCAGAACCCGAATTAAGCCATCCTTCCAAAAGCCATAAATAAGTTTGAGAATTAGGACGATTATTGTTATCTCGTTGATTATGCTCAGCAAAAGCATGGCAGATTGCAGAGCTACTCAATCTAGCTAATTTAAATCTTGTAAATACATTCCCAAATTGATTCTACATTCAGAAATACATGAAATAAACCAATTTAGTTAAGAAAAATGATATAAATTGGAGGAAAAACGAATTAGGTCAGTAGAATATTAAGTTGAAAAGGGAAAATTCGAAGTGAATGTGTTACCTGGAAAGTGTAAATGGTGGATTTTCCGTGAAAATGGAGGGAGTGAAGCAAGGAATTGGAGCTTGAACAGCGAAGAGCTGTTGTCAAGGAAACCATTCAAATTAGTTCGCCAAACAGATTAGACGACACAACTCATAACGACTATTTGAACGGATGTCAATGGGCCGAGAAAAAGTGGGTGGGTATAACAGAGTATCCTATTAAAATTCTGGGAATCGTAACGTGTTGCGACGGGTTTCTTAAGATAAAAATCAAAACGGGAACAGGAACATATTTAACAGGTTCCTAAAAAAGTATAGAACATGTGCCACGGGGCACTCTTTAAATTTTTTACAGTATTCTAATGCAAATTATACGTCACGTGGAAGTGTAACAACCTTCACATATATTGAAGTCCGGTTCACTTTTCTTTTCAAAAAAATAAATATTCAGTAATAACAATTTCACTTCAGTAAATATAATTTTTGATAAGTAAAAATAAGTCAATTTAGTAAAAATAATTTCAATTCAATAAAAATAATTTAAGTTTAGCAAAATATAATTTCACTTCAATAAAAATAATTTAAATTCAACATAAATAGGGTGAAGTAAACCACACCTAAAAATTTATAAGAAATAAAATAATATTCTTACCATTAGTTATTCACTTTTTTTTATTATATAATTTATATTTTATAGCTCAAATAATATTTATTAAAGTTCTAAAAAAATATTTTTATTGAAAAAAAAGAGAGGGGAGTAAAATTCACTACATCACTCAAGCTGCACACATTAAATCGTTATTGTTATCGAGTGTGGTTAGAAATTAAAGGGAAAATACAAGTTAATCTAGCAGATAAACGAATTTTTGTTAATTCGATGGCATTTTTGTAAATATATTGAAAAAGTAGGGTCATTTATTCAGTACTTTTAGTGAGCTGTCAAATTACTGTTTGCCTTTTGCTTTTACTGTTAGGTGAGAAAATTACACATGTATCCCTCAACTAGTATATGAAAAGACGCATATACCCCTCCACTACAACTTAAAAAGACAATTATACTCCCAGATAAACAAATTTTGTTTATTTGGAGAATTGACTGGGTATCCCTCGAAATTAAAAATAACAATTACCATTACTTTTCTAAGATCTAAGGTAATAATTCCCCTTGCGATTAAGAGTCTAGGAGTTAAATTTATGTAATGTGTGAAACATTGCCTTTTACCTCTCAAAAATAACAAATAAAATTAAATATAATTGATCAAATTTGCATTATATCTTGATACACAACAATTCTGCAATAAACAAGAGTAATTCCTAAAATACAGCTATTACTTCCCGAGGCCGAGTCATACATGATTAGGAACTCAACTCATCTCAGATAACAAATTACAGCCTTCAAAAAATTCTACTTCAAAATGGTATCACTTCATTAATGCAGAGCAATATCCAATGCATTATCCAAGCATTGAAGTGGTATGTGTAACGACAATATTTCGTCTGCTTTTCTCTTTGGTGATGCACTCAACCAGTGAAGCTCCCAAGATCTACACCCTTTGAGGCGATTATTGGAGCATGTTGCCTGAGAAGAGGATGTCCGTGATGTAGCAAACAATTTTTTAACTCGTTTCACCCGGAACTTTTGATCAGCCTGAGCTTTTGCTCTCAAAGTCATATTTTCTGGGAATGCTTGGCGAAAAGTGACTGTAGGAGAATGATCCATACACCCACTGGTACTGCTACATGATGCCTGTGGAATTTTCAGTGAAGGTCTTTCCTTCTTCCACACTGAAAATGATTTCTCAACCATTGATGGAACCTGCAAAAGAAATCAAGCAATAGATGACTAATTTAAGCATCATAACCTTGAACCAGCATATCTGGTTCATATAAACCCTAGATACCACGTGTAGTTCTTAACTTTAGCGTTGATAGACTCCAAGCTGAATATATTTTTCAACAAGATAAATCAGGAGTTTCACAAGATCTATGCTATTCACAGAAAGTTATCACATTAATACAGTTTCAAAGTCTGTTGATGGACTCAAGATATGCTGACAAAATGCCAAAATTGCCAATAATACCTGTGCTTGTATTTTCCTACATAAGCACATGACAAAAAACTCTCCCAGGTATATTTTGATCTAAATAATTGTATACCAAAATGATCACACTAATTATTCACTCAATGACGGAAACAAATAGCTTTGAAAGAATAACTTACCGTTGAAAGCAAACCAGACGACGCAAACGAAAGTGTGGAGAATGGAGACCTCTCAGATCCATTTTTCTTGTCCTTTGGGTCTGCAACAGACCCAAAACTTGATGGAGCTATATCATCATCTTCATCCTCTTCTTCTTCCTCTTCCTCTTCATCTTCAACTTCAACTTTGGTCTCCTTCTTTGGTGAAATTTTTTCCTGCTCAACAGAAGGAGAAATCGACTCACCCTCTTCCTCAACATCCATGTCAACTTTCTCCTCTGCCTCCTTTTCTTGTTGTTTCAACGCCTCTTCCATGTCTTCAAGGGCCTCCTCCAAGGTCAGTTCAGCCTCTACCAATTCAAGCTCCTGCTCTAAGAGCTGCTTTCTTATTTCACTGGCTTTCTTTTGCTCATCAGTCCATTTTTCTAGCTTCTCAAACATGGGTTTACACGATTTCTCTATTGAACCTATCAACCGGTTCCATAAGCCCTCTCTTTCTTCCTCTGTCTCACGTCCATAAAAGTCATCAAACCCAAGAGGTAAGAATTTGGCCTTTTTTGGGTCAACATCTTCAGCCTCTCCCGGAGGTGGTTGCCAAAACAAGCGGATACCATGTTCTTCATCCTCAATGTAATTGATTATTTGTCCAGTTGGTGTATGCATTATGACGGGGTCCTCAGTATAAACAAGCTTAGATGGATCATTAGGGTCAGGCTCAGGCTCCTTGTTTAGAAGAACAAATTCTGGAGGTTGTTCTGTTTGAGTAGTGATTCAAATGGAAGCAATGAGAAATTGTAATCACATAAGAAATTGTAGACAGCTTAATTACAAAATAGAGAATCACAAAAGTAGAAACCATGCTAGTAAACATATACTACATATATAAGCTTAACTCTCATCGAACCTTAGGTGCTGAAACATTCATAAAAAGCTGCAGTTACATCAAGTATCTATTCAGGGAAATCGCCAGGAAAAAAACACACACACACACACACAAAATATCATCAGAAAGAGCAGCGTTGTCATCACTTGTCAATTATTAAACTAACAAAGAAGAGGCAATTGAGTCAAAGTTAGCTCAATAAAGGCTTCAGTATTATTCTTTGGTCTAGTTCAAGGTCTTTTCACATAAAAAATCAGTCTAGTTCCTTAAGAAAAGCAGTTAACTTATAGGAAATATAAAGTGGGAGAACTACACACCATTTTCCCACCAGTATTCTAATTCTGCAGGCATTGGGAGTCTTAATGGTGCTTTATGGAAAGAGTTTAACCACATTTCTCTTTCTTGATCCACTTCTTGCACGTAAGTTTTCCAGTAATCAGGAACCTGGATCATTGAAACAAGAGATTTCATACTATATAGCATGCAGAGGTAACCATTAGTTAATTCTCAAGAGTAGGTAAGAATCATACTTCGTAAAACTGGTTGATGAAACCTGGAGCCTGCCACACATCCTCTTCCTCATAAAAATAGGGATGTTGAGGATCACCATATGGACCCCTTTCTTCCCTAACCACTGCATCCAAATGACAAGATCAGTTGTCAATGTCTCATTGAGGTTTGCCTTATAGATCAATAAACATTATAGATTACGAAGTATAATATTACAAACTTAGCCAACGGTTTGCCATTTTTACTAACTGAAGACATATAACCTGCTACATTCCACTGTTCCACCCTCCCCCTTCCCTTCCCTCCACTTCACTTTTCATTTCTTTTTTCTTTTCTTTTTTCTCTTTTTCAAAACACTTCTCCTTTCATTTCTGTGACATCCTTAAAATAATATCTGATTGGAATGGGAAACTACACCCTTATCTTTTCTTATCTGTGATATCCTTATAATGTTTTATTGGAATGTGAAAATACTTACTTCCATCAGGCTTATTAATGAACATTCGAGCCTTGGCTGCAGCAACTTCAGCTATGCCTGCATGCATCTGAATAGCCATTACATAAGAATAAATTTCTAAATAGAAGCAAAAGCAACTCCTGACACCACCAAACCTGTTGCTTAAACAAAAAGTAAAAGAATAAGTGTCATACTGTGGAAATTTCTTCAGTACAACCAGCAGGATCCTCCATTTTCTCACCAAAGTAGAACCGTCCCTTCAAATAAAAACCATAAAAACTATGAAGACTGACTATACATGAATTTAAACACAAATTGACCATAGAGAATCAAGATTAATGATAAGCATCAGCTAGAGGGTAAGCAATCTAAGAATTCATTCCCTGATAATACTGCTGTTAAAACTATGAAGACTAAGTATACATGAATTTAAACACAAATTGACCATAGAGAATCAAGATTAACGATAAGAATCAGCTAGAGGGTAAGCAATCTAAGAATTCATTCCCTGATAATACTGCTGCATCTTATGCAACAATAAACATAGTAAAAGCTGATATCAATGGATTTGCAGGTCATGTGAAATTATAGAAAAAATAAATAATAAATAATTTATTTCAAATCCAATCACTCTTATTTGATTTTATTTCATATAGAAGTATATACTAAAAGAAGGCAAGAAAACTCTATAGAAAACAGTGGTTCAATTTGATGTTGTCCAAGAAAGTGTTAAAATCATTTCCCATAGAAGCTAAGACCATCTCCATTGGTGAGACCAACTTTGAGTATTGAAATACAAAATGAGTTGTTTTTTTACCTCCAATGGTGATATACTGATACACAACCCATTTCTCAATTTAGCAAATCATGTGAAGTTTAATTTCCCAATGGTGAAACTCTCTAAAGTATACTTATGTTACTTTCAATTTATGGCCCACCAAATCCATATGGTTTCAAAAAAAAAAAAAAAAAAAAAAACACTTAAATAAATTACACAATATACTTCGTATTATATTATTGATAAAGGGCCCACACCTTTTGTCAAATGAGACTCAAAGTTGAGTATCTAAATTTAACAACTTTCTTTTGAAATTGCTAAGTTTAAACACCAACTTATTGGTATCCTTTGCAAAAAATACTCTCTCCTAAAAAAACTCCCCCAAGTCTCACCATTGTAGATGGTCGTGAAAAAACACAATATCTCAATGCTGATCGTGAAAAACATAAAGAGAAATTTATATATAGTATAAAAGTATCACGTAAATCAAACTTTGGGAATTAATATGGACCTACATAGATGGGTTGTTCATTCATTTCATACACACCACATCCATGCATTCTGCCATGCTTCCACTGACCAGCATAACGATACCGACCTTTTTCCCTGACACAATTAACATACAATGAGTAGAAGAAGAAAATAATGATGTCAGCTGATGCCTTCTACTGTAGAAGAAATTTTTTGAGGAGAAACTGGAAAATAATTCTCTTTCAGCTAAAAGTACACAAGCAGGTAAGCTTTCATCACCAACCAAGATTATTATGACTTTAAAAGTATGGACATGCCCCATATAAAGTTTCTCCTCAATAAAAATGACCCATATAAAGTAAGTAAATCTAAGTTCACTACTCTGCCCAAGATAAATGTAGTAATGACTACCCATAAAAGGTCAGACGTTCAATTGCTACATTTTGATCTAGCTGAGTAGCTGACCATGCCTAAAGCTGATGTAAAATACCATAACATGAATGCAGAATGACTTTCAGATGTCGTCAATATAGGACTCTGCAAAACATGGTGATGGTAGGAAACTAAGCATCAACATGAAAAAAAACATAGCGGAAATCAGTGACTAAGATACTTAACATGTAATCATACAATAGGAAAAAGATAAATTACAGTACATGTACATTGTTTATAGCCGTCAACAGCATGAAATAAAGAAAGAGTAAAAATGGAAGCTAAAAAAGAGAGAGAAAGAGGAAAGTCACAGCAATAACTTACGGCTTCTTTCCATATTGTCTTATCCACTCATCATTCTCGTAGAATGGGATTTCATAATTCCCATCAGTGAGACGAACACTGTCTTCAATATCCATCTCCAGCCATTCTCTATCTTCTGGGCTCATAAAATCTCTCTTTATGATTTTCCCTTCAGCTCGCATTTGTGCTTCAAGTCTGAGAACCATCAAATGAGTCAGTCTGAAGCTCAAGATCCAGATGTTCTACCTGGACAACTATCATATTTAAGTAATACTTTCCATAGTTAGTAGACATACTTGGAACCAGGGATAGGTTCTATATCAGGTATATCGACTTCAACAACCCCATGTCCCTCCTCCTGGTTTTGAAGCCATTCTCCCTCGTACCTACAGTGAGAAGTTCATGATAATTTAGTTTGTCACTGGAAGTTAATTCATATGAACGTCCACATTAACTGAATATTTGAGTAATATTTTAGAAAATTGCAAAAATGCACTATAAACAGACCTGACTAGACCTTGCTCAGCAACATAAACACCTTTTCCATGAGCCAAGTCATCCCACACAGTGCCTTCATACCTTTTGGAAATGACATACAAGAAACAACACAAGCATAAGCAAGTAGGATAGGAATTCTGTATCACAACGAACAAAGTAAAACAAGGAAACTTTCCTTAGCACTAATTATTCCTTAAAGCCATATGCATTAACAATTGTCTTGGACCTCAATAACAGCAAAAGTTCAATCACTAAGAACAGATTTTCTGTGCAAAATTATAGCCACAAGGCTCACAACTAGATTCCAACAACAATGAAGGAATCAGTGTTGAGCAATATTATACCGATTACATACAGGGGTGACGGGATGTCTTGTACACCCTAATCTTCATCAAAAGCTATACTTCATACATCATTGCGAATACTTCCCTAAACTAAAAAATAACATACAAAACTCAAAGAAGTCCTCATGATACCATAACAAAACCTAAACCACCCCAAAAGCCTTATCGGCCCAGGCAGAGATATAGAATAAAAACAGCTTCAATCAAATAATCACATAAAACACAGTCAAACACAAGTCCAAAATGCTTCACAAAAGTATAATGCACAGCTTAATTACAGCCAAACTCATATACTCATTCAAAAAGGAAATTTTCATAAAATTAGTAAGCAAATGCACAAGACATACTAATCTTTCATCATGATATGATAACATAAACCAAAGCAAACTCGAAACTGGTATCGGCTATTGGGCAAAAAGTTTCTTATGTCCATCCCTTGATAGGGAAGCTGATCAAACAATCACCTACAACATAGTCAAACACATACATTAAGCATTACAAATCATTATACACAACTTAAATACACCCAAACCCACATTATCATTCAAAATGGGAAAATTAATAAAATTAGCCAAAAAATTCATTAACAAGAAAATAAATCCAAAACCCCACTTAAACCCCAGCAACAGAAAATTAAAGCAAAATTCAATAACAGCTTCAAACATTCAATTCAGTCAATTGCATAATTCAAACACCCAAAACCTACACTAAAGCCCAATAAAACCCCTCAAATCCCACCATTTTCATCCATTCAAACAACAAAACCAAAAAAACTCAAAAACCCATCAATCAAAAAACCCAAAAAATCAAAACTTACGAGCTTCCATCAGGAAAAACATAGCTAACCCATCTCAAAAACTCTTCAATCCGATCCAATTCTTCAATAACAGACTTAGGAGTAGAAATATCATGATGATTATCAGGAATAGCAGGATAACTCTTTCTATAAGGAACATAAAAGGGAGCAATTGGAGGGTCACGACCTTCTCGAACTTCCTTCTTAACAACTTCCCAATCATCATCATCAGCCCAAGCTGGGTCCCACCCAGGTTTAGTCATCTCAAGAGGTGCATCAGCCCATAACTCTTTAAGGTCTTCTTCCCTCCAATTCTCCCCATCATTTGGAAAATTGAACAAGTCATCTTCATATTCGATTGCATCTTCTTCCTTTTGTAGCGCTTGTTTGAATCGGCGGGACTGGTATGCGCGGGCGAACCGCTTAATATTAGCTTCGGCAGAGTAGTCGCCTTCGGCTATGTCGTCGAACTCGCCGGCGCGGCGGTAGTATGCTTGTCGCTTCTTTTGTTTTTGGGTGGGTCCATCGGTGTCGTTTTCGTCGGGTTCGAAGTCGGAGTCGGAGTCTGAGTCTGAATCTGAGTCTGAGTCGTCTTCGTTTGCGGAATCATCTGGGTCATCTTCTTGTTCTTTGTCATCTTGTTGTTGAGGGGGTTGGTCAATTGGGGGAGTTTGATTGTTGTCTGACATTGTTGTTGAGAAATGGGGATAAAGAAAGATAAGGTGAAGTGTGGAGAAGAAGTAGTGGGTGAGTGAGTGAGTGAGTGAGTGAAAGAGGACGGAGATGAAATTTAGGTGTGTTTTTGCTATTTTTGTTTTTGGTTTTGGGCTTGGTATGAGTAAAGATTCAAGAGTATAAAAGTGTGGCCCATAAGCTATGTACATAATCCCTTTGGCCTTTTTTTTGAATTATTATTTTTGAAGTTTTGGCATTGTTTGACAATTAGCTTTTATTTATAGATTTTTTTATTTTTTTTTTTGAAATAATCTATAGATTGTTAGCGGTTTGCATTAACTAGATTAATTGGATGATTGTCATAAGTTGATTGTGTAAAAGTATTTGATAAATAACGATTAGTTATTTGGCTGTTTTAGAGTTTAAAAAAAAATAGAGTTCTAACTCTTCATACAAGCTTTTTGAACCCACAAAAGTCTTTCAAACAGATCCAAACCAAACACTTTAAAGAGACCAAAGACCCCCATCAATTCAGTTAATTTCAATTCCATTCAATTTATTTCAATCAGTTATTATTTCACCATGTGCTTTTGAAAATTTAAAGTATTAAATATTAAAATGGTATCATTGTGGTCTTCAAAATTCAGGAGTTACCTTTGAGGTATGGTGTTAATATATGAAATGTCATTAAAGACTAACAACATTAGATGGATATAAAGTTTGTGTTTATGCATGAAATACTTCAAATAGATTAGGTTATAATTTTGAGTGAAGCCGAACCTAATTGTAATTGTGTATCTTTCTTTCTAAAGAAAATGAGAAAAATTTGTTAATAACTAACAAGTTAATAGTAAATTTTAAAAATAACTACCTATTTTAAAAAAATTAATAATAATAATAATAATAATAATAATAATAATAATAATAATAATAATAATAATTGGGTAGGACTATGAATGGTAAGACTTACCGTTGTGTTCTTTGCTACCGGTTGGGTGTTCCCTTGTTCTCTGTTTCGACTCCGTGTTCTGCTTGCTCTAGGGTTTTTGATGGGGATATTTATGGGATCATGCGGTGTCTTGTGCTGGAATGGTAGGTATTAAACATCGGCACAACGTTGTTCGTGATACCCTTGTTGATATTTGTTTCTGCTCTGGGATTTCTGCAAGGAAGGAGGTTAACGTTGGGTTGACTGGAGGGAATGACGGGGCCCTTCGATCGGAAGATGTGTTGCTTTATTCCTGGGAAAGAGGTCTTGATGTATGTGTTGACTTGACGGGGTCTTCTCCTTTGACTCAATCTGGGTTGTCTGACTTTGTTCCTGGTCGTGTTGTGTCGGCTGCGGCTCAGCGGAAGCGGGAAAAGTATGGGGCGTGTTGCAGGGCAATTGGCTATGGTTTTCTTCCTTTCTCCTTTTCTTCATTGGGGGAATTAGAGAAGGATGTTGTTGCGTAGTTGAAGCGGATTCAGGCGTTTGCTAGGACTCAGGATATTGGTGCTCGTGCAGCTGCTCATATCTTCAACAGGATCGGGTTCGCTGTAGCTAGAGGGGTGGGGGCCCAGATTGTATCTCGGCTCCCCACTAATTTCTTGTAAATCAATTGACTTTGTAGGTTTTTGTTATAATAATAATAATAATAATAATAATAATAATAATAATAATAATAATAATAATAATAATAATAATAATAATAATAATAATAATAATTGGGTAGGATTTGCAGCTCATATCTTCACTAGGGTAGGATTTGCAATAGCTAGAGGAGTGGGGGCCCAAATTGTATCTCGGCTTCTCACTAATTTATTGTAGGTTGTATGACTTTTGTTTTTGAGATAATAATAATAATAATAATAATAATAATAATAATAATAATAATAATAATAATAATAATAATAATAATAATAATAATAATAATAATAATAATAATAATAATAAAACTACCAAGTTTCTTCCAAAAGTTTTGGTAGCATTACCTTTTACAATTTTTTATTCAAAAACTTAACGTTACACGTTATATAACCCCACCTATTTGTCTATTTATAACCACCTTAATTCCTTCCACATTCACAATTTTAGGCCCCGTTCACTTCACCTTTTTTTTTCGTTACTGTTACAACGATTACTTTAATTTGTCAACATTATAAAGGAAACTCAATGTGACAATGTTGTATAGGTTATCTATATCTAACTTATCCTATATATAAAGTGAAAGGGCCTTTAGGGCCTTTTGGGTGATAAATTTCATTATCCCCAAATTACCCCTCTCATTTCTTCTTTTTTTTTAATTAAAAAAATAACTACCATCTTTTAAAGAATTTTTTTTTATTATTTTATTTTTAAATTTCCATCTTTTTTTAAAAGAAGTCATATTCTATTATTTGGCCTCCATGACTTCATCAACATAAATTTATTAACAACACATACTAACTAATATTTTTTTTTATCAACAATTTTTAGCAATATTTCATTTTATTTAATTAGAATAAGGAGGATAATATTTAAGGAAAAAAAAAAGAATCATGCATGATAGATTTTATATGGAAAAATTGCCCAAAATAATCCGACCTTTGCCTCATCCGCCCAAATAATCCCACCTTTTGATTATTTTATAATAATACGACCTTTAATACCAATCCGCTTTAAATGGTCCTAACCGGTCATTTAACTTGTTATACCAAGTTACATGACATGTGTCGACAACTAAGGGCCTGTTCCGATTGACTGAACTCAGCTGAACTGAACTGAACTGAACTTATTAATTAGTGATTTTTAACTACGGATTAGTGATCTTTGATTATTGCTATACATATGTGTATATACAAATGTACATATTATTATTAATATTATTATTATTATTAATTATTGATTATTATTATTATTATTATTATTATTATTTATTGATTATTATTATTATTATTGTTGTTGTTGTTGTTGTTGTTGTTGTTGTTGTTGTTGTTGTTATTATTATTATTTATTGATGATTATTATTATTATTTATTGACTATTATTATTAATATTATTATTTCAATTATTATTGTTATTATTATTAATATTATTTATTGATTATTATTATTATTATTATTATTATTTATTACTTATTGATTATTAATATTATTATTATTATTGTTAATATTATTATTATTATTATTATTATTATTATTGTTGTTGTTGTTGTTGTTGTTGTTGTTGTTGTTGTTGTTGTCGTTGTAATAAGAGCTTAAAAGAATGAAATTTGGCTTTACATCATTAGCAATATCATTAGACGTAAATTAAGAGCTGAACTGAACTGAACTGAACTGAACTGAATTTCAACGGAAGAGAACAGGCCCTAATTGGTTTAAAAAATAAAAATAAAATTAAAATAATTTTTTTTAAAAGATAAAATAAAAAAAATTATACTTAATTAAATAAAATAAAAATTAACAAATCACCCCCACCAGCTTAAACCACTTTCCACGGCCGACCGATCACCCATTACCACCATCATCCACCAGTCCGACCCCTGCCTCCCCCCGGCGCCGGAGAGCCGCGTCGACCACAATCCCCCCTCCCCCTTAAACCGCCGAATCCCCTCCACCTGTACCACCAACCAGCCTCGAAAAAGCTCGTCCCCGTCCCAATCCCGATCTCATATCCCGGCCTCCCTACCTTTCCCGCCACCTTTCCGGCCCTTCCCACTCCCCTATCGCTTTTCCGGCCCTATCCTATCCCCACGCATCGATTTCGGCCCCAATTCCTACACCTTGATTTTGATAATGGATGTGGTGGTTTAATTAGAGGCAACGAAAGGGGGTAGGCTAACAGCCGGTCTGGGACGATAGTCTGGGCACGGCGAGGCTATGGTTTGGGCGCGGCGGTGATGTGGTCGGCGCGGCGAGGATATGGTCTGGGACGGCCGGACGATGGTGGTGCGGGGAGGTGGTTGTGGTTTTTCCTTATTATTATTTTTTAAAAAATATTTTGATTATTTTTAATAAAATTATTTTTATTGTTTTAAAATATACTCCCTCCACCCACAATTATCTGCAACATTTGCCATAAATGGGTGTTCTCTATTATGTGCAACAATTTTTTTATCTTTCCTCTTTCAGTAAATTTTAAAGTGTAAAAAAACCATCTTACCAAACTTAAACATATGAGACCACTTTCTCTCTCCTATTTCCCACTTACTTTAATCCACTAACAAATTTAAACATATGGGACCACTCTCTCTTTCTTTTCCCTCATTTTTACAACTTAATTAAGCCCACCTAAACTTAATTTAACTACACTAAAAGTTTTCCTTTGGAGTCCGCAAAAAGGACGTTTGGTGCAGATAATCGTGGGCGGAGGGAGTATAATTAATGTTAATTAGTAATTATTCATTTCTGTAAAAAATTTAAAAAAATAAAAAAAATCAAAAGTAATTTTTTTTTACCAATCATGTTGTGACATGTGTAAATTAAAATTAATTTAAAAAAAAAATCACCTACTCAACCGGTTTCAGGTCACTTGGGACCATTTCAAGCGGATTAGTATTAGAGGTCGGATTATTAAAAAATAATCGAAAGGCGGGATTATTTTGGGCGGGCAAATGTCGGATTATTCTAAATAATTTTTCTATTTTATATTGTTGACGCACGTATTGCGTGTGATTGCAGTGATAAAATGAAAACTCTTCGTTGTACACTTGTACTAAAAAATAAGATAGTTAAAATCTTACAGAGGATGAAGGTTCCTTGGTCTCATCTATCATTTGATCCAAGATAATCTTTTAATATAAAAGATATTCTTATAAATTCATCATTTTTTTCTTTCTCAGTCGAATATTCATCTTATATTAAAGACTGAGAAAACCAATATCCCATATTATCTTTCAAAGAAAAAAAAATAACAAAAAAGTTGAGTGATAGTGAAATAGCTGTGTTTTACATATATGCCTAATATATCCCCTTATTCTTAGTTTTTTCTTTTATTCATTCATATATGCTGCCATCATAGTTTCCTTAAAAAAAAAACAGAAACCAAAATTCTCTCAAATAGGGATATGAATTCCGAAAAACTGCAACAACAAAACAATGGTTATTGGATACCAATAACCCCAGAAAAGCCACAATCGACCCTCAAAAACGATTCTACTAGCAATGTGACACCATATCCAGAGGCTCTTGGCTCAGTTAATGGTGCAACTGTTGAAGCAAATCAATTAAGATTTCAACACAATGCTACTACGAGCATTGATCCTGGTATGTACACTCTACTGTTGTATTAGAAATTTACTGTTTTTCTTGATTAAAATTAAATTGATTGAGTCAATTTTCAAGTATCAATTTATGTGCAAATTTAATAAGTTTTGAATATGATGATATATTAATTGTAATAAGTAAAATTCAGGTGAAAAGAACTGGAATAAAGCCTTGATTATTTTATTGTGATTTTTTAATTCTGATTAAAAAAAAATTAATTCTAATTCTTTTGGGGTCTTATGTCAAATTAGGGTTTGTTTTTGGATTAATTGAGTCTGTCAGGTTTCGGGTTTTGGTAGGGTTTTGAGCCCGGTTAAATTTTCATCGTAGAATATACGTTAATTCCAAAGCCTATTGATTATACAGTACAATTAATTTTGACCCAGAAATTCGAACATTATTTTTTTTTTTTAATTTTTTTCCCCCAAACATTTCTCACCAGTATAACAAATGCTTTGGATTCCCTAAAAAAAAAATTTGCTCCATTGGATTCTTTTTGTTCATAATTTTCGTGCAACTGACTCACAAACTGTTCTAGAGCAAAAATAGAAAACAGATTTTTATTTATTTAATTTTTTTAATCAGCTGCAAACCTTTTTAAAAAATCTATAAAGACTTCATGGTTTGAGTTTTTAAATACAACGTATAAATTTTTTAAATATAACGTATAAAATAATTTTTGTTTTTTCTCAATAGTTACCGTCTTATTAAAGGTTTGAGTTTTTAAATTCAACGTATAGATTTTTTAAATACAAGTCATAAAATAATTTTTGAGTTTATCTTTTTTCTCAATTGTTATCTTCTTATATATATATATATATATATATATATATATATATATATATATATATATATAGTGGTTTGAGTTTTTAAATTGAAGGTATAGATTTTTTAAATTTAACGAATAAAATTAATTTTGAAATTTTTTTTTTCTTCAATTGCTACCAACCGCCTTTCATTTGAGTTTTTGACTTCAACGTAAAAGTCCTATGGAGTACTCCATAAGTTTATAAAACTAATCTATAATTCTATTTCAAAAGAAAAAAAAACTAATGTATAGTTTATACTCCCTCCATTTCTTATTTACCCTTATAAACATTCTGAATCCATGTGCAGAATTATATTGAAATATAAAGGATTGATGACATGACATTACTTACTTTCTAATCATTGGTTTTAAGGTTACTCAAAGTTACTTAATTTTCGTGTAATTTTAAAAATAAAAATGTAAATAAGGACAAAGGGAGTACTTCCCTAATTTATAAACCTAACATTACTAATTAAAATTCACTCACATATCACGTGACACTTTCCTAATTTATTTCATGTACTCCACATTTCACATCTATATGTAACCATTAGGCTATAAATAAGCATTAAATATTATTCATTATTTAGTACTCCCTCATTTCCTAAATTACATTACATTCCTTCTTCTCATTTTTAGTAATTTTTTTTTTCCAAATATCCCAAATCATTTTTTTTTTGTATATTTAATGATTTCTCACTAACTCTTTCTGTCCTAATCTCACTCAAGATCCTTGTGCCTAATTTAAATGAATATGATAGATTCTTAATTTTCAATTAGAATCATGTTATTGGTCCTTTTTTTTTGCAAAGGATGGATGACATGACATCATTAATATATCTTTGTTTTACTCAAATACATTCCGCGTAATTTTACAAACAGAAATGCAATTTAGGGACGGAGGGATTATTAATTTAAGAATGCATGATAAAATCACATGCAAATAAGTGTAATTAAATGAATATATTTCACTACTCCCTCTATCCCAAAACTTCGACCCTTTTGGCTTAATTTTAGTTCCAAAATGATCGACCATTAACATTAAAATACCCACCAATTTACAACAATATTTGTGTATAAACTTTTGTTTTTTCATGTATTTTTAATACTTTATCTTTCTACTTTTGTACAAACTACATGTAAATTTATCTTTCCAATATGTTTTTATTTCTATTTATTTAAGTTTCTTAATAACCACGAAATCAACCCAAAAGGGTCGAAGTTTTGGGAACAGAGAGAGTAATATTTTCCTTTTTTTTTTAGCTCTTTTTTTTTAAAAAAAAAACCTTTTTTTAGCTTTTTGTTTTTGAAAGAAACCTTTTTTTAGCTTCTTATTCATGAGTTATAGCATTTATCTAAAATTAAATTTTGATTTGGATTTAAATCATGAAATTAATGCAGGGCCTGGGCCCAAAAACAATTGTTGTCCATTTATTGGGTTGGGTTGACTTTCCAAATTTTATTAAATACTCCTCATTATTACATTGACTTTGAAATATATATATATATATATATATATATATTTTTTTTTAAGTTATACTCGTATTAGAAAAAAAGAACTATGATCAAGTTTTTTTTAAAAAAAAATCCTATATTTCATAGTATTAGAATTCACAGAAAGTATCAGAGGCTTAAAAAAAAATAAATAAATTTAAAGTGATAATTTGGCAGGTTTTTGCACGGAAAACCTACGATACAACTTACAATTACTTTTTTTTTAATCTTACCATACAAGTTTCAATTCAAAAAAAATAAAAATAAATAAATAAATAATAATAATAATAATAATAATAATAATAATAATAATAATAATAATAATAATAATATATGGTTTTCTTAGAGCATCTCCAATGGAAAGCTACAATTGGTTGTAGCTCACCTTATGACATCAATAATTTAAGCTCCTATATTTTCAAGCTACAATGTACTACAATGGTTAGTTACAATTCCTTGTAGCTTGCTAGAAAAATAAATAAAAAAGAATATATTATATTATCCATGTGTCTTGATCTAAGTGGAAGATGCTTAACTTTAGAAAAACAAGCAGTTACATGTTTGTAATTTTAATTAATTTGCAAGCAGGTCCCTTCTCCATACCATTGGAGATGCTCTAACCATTGGAGATGCTCTTAATGATGTGAAATTGAACACTGACTATTTCAAAGAAGTTCTGTACTATGTGAAACAACTTGCTCAATTTCATTTGAGGTGAAAATTATTACATCGATTTGAGGTTCTTGAGAATGGCATGTAGTTTCTTAAAGTATGTTTTGCATGTAAGTTATTAATTGTTACATCAATATGGATTACTATATTTCCTACTCCTGTATGTGTGCATTGAATTTATTACTACCTCCGCTCCAATTTACTCGCAACAAAGGAATATTTTATGTCTCACAAATAATACCCCTTTGTTGCGAGTAAATTGGACCGGAGGTAGTATTTAAATTTGTAACATTTTGGTATACTTTGTTTATAGATGTGGAGCAAAATTCGAAAAACAAAAGGAGAAAACTTGGCAATGGCAAAGACTTAAACAGGAAGCCCGGGGAGAAGCGGAAAAATAAATATTTTTGGGCAAAAATCGACAATAAAAAGGTGCAAACTCCTAAGCCAAAAACTCCTAAACCAGTTACTCCTAAGCCTAAGACTCCAAGAACTCCTAAGCCTAAAACTCCTAAGCCAATAACAAAGAAAGATGTGAAGAACAACAAGGAAGGAGGTAAAGTCGTGCTTGAACATACTCGACCTGAAACTGAAACTGAAACAGAAACAGTTTTAAACTGTAAACGAGCATTGGATTTTGACATCAACATTGTCAATTTAGAGGACGAGGCTGGTAAAGTAATTGAAAGCCAAATACCCGGTGTTACTGAGCAAGTTTCCAATGTGGTGGAAAAGGTGGAATGTTTGGAAAAGGAAAGTTCGAGTAAGAAGGATCATTCTTGTGATGGTAAAAAGAAGCAAGAAGGTTTGAGAGTTTATGGAAGGAGGTATTCTTGTAAATGTTTGAGTGAAAGTCGAAAGATAGGGCCTAATGTTATGTACACTCTTAAGAAGAAGAGAATAGGGAGAAAAAAGAAGTCAATTGAAAGAATTAAACTTGATCATAGCTTCATCATTGAGGATAACAAAAGTTTGTTGTTGCCAGCAAAGTTGAAGATTGTTGATGACGAGTCTTTTGGGTGTGTTTTAAGTTTGCTTTCTTCGCAAATGAAGTTCAAACAGGGGAAGAGATCAATAAAAAAATTGCCTTTATCTCGCAATGTTTCAAAAGAGAGTGTTTCAAAACAAAGGAGCATTGGCAATGATGGGCAAGGGGTTTCGAAACAAACGAGCATTGTAATTGATGGACAGAGTGTTTCACAAGGTAATTAAAAGCTTATTATGTCAGTTAAGTTTTAATTGACATACTCTCAAGTAAAAAAATAATAATAAAAGTTCAATTATTTGATCGATGTACAGGACAAATACATGAAAGAATCTTACAATCTGCTCTTTGCTCAACTCCGGAGAGTAAAACAAAGGCAGCAAAGGAGAAGAAAACAAGAGCTCCTTATAAACGCAAGGAAAAGCCTAAAGCTCCGGAGAGTGAAACAAAGGAAGCAAAGGAGAAGGGAACAAGAGGTCCTTATAAACGCAAGGACAAGCATAAAGCTTGTTTCGTCGAGCTTCAAAGTAATGTTATGAATTGTAGTCACTGTAATTAGTTTTATAATCGCGATTATGTTTTATTTTTACATATTTAATGATATTCAACCTCTTTTTTTGTTTTAATGTAGAATGGAATGGAAGGTCAGTGGAGCAAATAATGGATTCCTTAGTAGAATACTATGAATCTATGAATATCTATGATGACCCTAAGTCGATCGAGTTGAGTATAATGGTAAGGGAAGGAAATCCTGAAGGTGATGGTACTCAAAAACCTGATGAAGAAGACGACGAATTCCGTCAAGAAAAAGCATTTATAGAAGCAAAGATGGATAGATTCTATTATCTAATGACTCAACTACAAGGTATTTCATACTCTGTACTTCCTTAATACGGAGTATAAAAGCTTAAGCTAATGGTTGAAGCTCATGATCAGTTTATGTGCGCTATCACTTACTTTTTTTTGAGTTTATATTTACTCTAAAGAATGTTTTATTATTTGCTTAGTATGTTAACTCATATTTGCGAAAATTGCAGGGCCTAAGGATTATGTAAAATGGAATGGTTCTGTTTTAGACTCGGTTGTTGGTGTTTTTCTTACACAAAATGTATCCGATGTTCTCTCAGGGTACATTTTTACTTCAACTCTTTAAATTCAGTTTCATACTTAGAAAAAGTATTGTTTTAGTTCCATTGTATAATATGTATACAAAATTTATGATTGGTGTAGGAGTGCATACATGGAATTGGCTTCGCGATATCCTATAAAACAACGAACCAATGAAGATGAGGATAGTGGTGGAGATGTATCTACCTCAAGCAGCCAAGAGTCTACGGATAGTAGCAACGTAAAGGGCCCGATCATCGAGTATCCTGATGACCAAGAAGAAGCAAATCCAACTGAAACAGAACAAGAAGAGTCATGGAAGAAGGAATATGACAGTGCTATGAAGGAAATGCTAGCATCTTTGCCTAGTTTTAAAGGCAAAGAAAAGAAAGGTGAAGGTGCTGAAAGCTTTGATTGGGATTCGATACGATTGCAATTCCTAGGAAAGAGTACTGAAAGAAGCCCTGAGACACAAGATTCTGTTGATTGGGAAGCAGTAAGGAAGGCGCCGATAGAGGACATTGCTAAAGCAATTGAAAAGAGAGGCCAACATACCATTATTGGAAAAAAGATTCAGGTACGAAGCAAGGAATTCTGTTATACTACCTCCGGTCCAAATTACTCGTATTTCACAAATAATACCCCAAAGTTGCGAGTAATTTGGACCGGAGGTAGTATTAGTTGTATGAAGTGATGAACTTTTTTGAACATATTATTAATGCTTATTTTTAACTCTAGAGGATGCTCAATCGACTTGTTGAAAAGCATGGTACTATGGATCTTGAATGGTTGCGTGAAGCTCCATTTGCAATAGCAAAGTAAGTTAGGAATATCTTCATTACATTCATTTTCTTAATGTTTGTATAAGAAGATTAAAATTTGATTTCCTTTGTTTGATTTTCAGGGCATATTTGTCAAGTTTCTATGGACTTGGGTTGAAAAGTGTTGAATGCTTGCGACTTTTGACGCTTGGTCACGATGCCTTTCCTGTAAGAGTTGCATTTTTTATTTTTTCTATAGTAAATGGTTTTTAATTTCTTATTATAAATACTCTTGGATTAAATAAGGAGATAAAATAGAGATACATAGTCAAGTATTAGTAACATCAATCAACGAGTATTTTGTCATGCTTACATAATTAATACTTACTCCATTCCCTTATTTACAAGCCTATTTAATTTTTTTTTAAACGGAAATTAAGGAAGTAGAAGATTCGTTAAAAATTAATGAGAGAGTATAAATATGCATGTGGGGGTCAAAGAGAGGGAGAGAGAAAATGTTGGAAATTGATCTAAAAAATATTAAGAAAAAAATGACAAAGCATAAAAAAAATAAAGAAGGTAATATTGTAAAAATAAAATAAAATATACAACCTTTGAATAAAAAATTGTGTAATTTTGGTAACCCAAAAATGCGGGAATACCATACATATATATACAAGTATATTTGTCGTGCATATATATTTTAACCTTAATAAATATGATTCTTACATGAGAATTAAGTACTTCTTTATTAATTATTTTTCTTACATATATATACTATTTTTTTATTTTCCGTCGAGATTACTTATATAGGGGTAACTCCTGACCGATTAAGTGACCTATGAATAATAACTAATGGTTGACCGACTGAATAACCTTTGACCGACTAAGTAACCCTCGATCGACCAAGTAATCCATTAACAAGTGACTCTTGATTAATCCCTTGACCGATCGAGTAACCTCTTACTAGACCTGGTAAACAGGTCATTTGGGTCAAGTCTGGGTCGGATCTCTTTCGGGTTGGCTACCATTCGGGTCGGTATGGGTCGACGTTTTGGGTCATTCGGGTCATCGGGTCTGAGTCAATTGCTAGGTCTACTTCTGACTGAGTTTGTAATTATATATACGTAATTGTTTCAATTTTCCCTAATGCAAAACTACTAGTGTACTACTCGTATGAGTTAAGCATGAATTATTGGAATTACAATTCAATTTGAGGTTATTTCTTACTCTTTATTAAGCTATTTAAAGCTACTCAAAGTATTTGTGCTAATCCTTCTAACTTTTGTATGCCAGGTTGATGTGAATATTGCTCGAATTGCAGTGCGTTTAGGCTGGGTTCCTCTCAGTAAACTGCCTGATGAAATTCCCTTTCATCTTATTGACAAGTAATATATACGAAGTACTTTGATATCATGCATGTCTTAGAACTTGGATAAAAAGAGTATTTGAGAATTTCTAACCTTGATATTATTTTCGTGTAGGTACCCAAATTTTGATGACATTCAAAGATATCTTTGGCCCAGAATAGACCATATGGACAAACAAAAATTGTACGATTTCTTTCTACTCCCTCCATTTCTTCTTATTTGGATTACAGGTATCTTTGAATGTATTTTTATTCATATATATTTTTGTTGGATTACAGGTATAAAATTCATTATCAAGCGATTACATTCGGGAAGGTACATTTTTTTCATTTGATCTCCATGTACATAATTTTATGGATAATGTGCTGGAGTTTCTTTGACAGTGTGTTTTGATTGCACTAATCATATAATTACAAAATGTTATGTTGTAGGTTTTTTGCATGAAGAACAATCCCAATTGTAGAGCATGTCCATTCAAAAATGAATGCAAGTATTACCAAAGTCTTGTAGAAAGGTTTGTAGCATCACACATAATTATTACTTCCTCCGTTTTCTTTTACTTGCAACACTTTCCTAAAAATTGCAACACACTATAAAAGGAAAGTTACTTTGGAGAAAATCTACTTCCTCCGTTTTTTTATTATTGCACCATAGAGGATGGATACAAATATTTTGGTAGTGGAAAAAGTAAGAGAGAGAAAGGTAAAAATACAAAATTGTCCATGTGACATATTGATAAATTAAAAAGTAAGTTGGGAACACAAATAATTTGTATTGTATTTGTAGTGAACGGAGGAAGTATATTATTTCCCTTATTTAAAGCACATGCCCACTAAATTACACTCCTAACAACCACTCATTCTAAAAAAACGGAGGAATTATAATTTTACGTAAATTTCAATAATAAAATTCAATAATAAAATATTGAAATTAGATTTTATAAATAATTCAATAATAGTATACAATATCCTATATATCGTAGACGATATTTTGTAATTTGGCAGTGGTCCTATAATTTATTGTATGGTATGTTAACGGACATATTTATTTATATCTAACCTATTTATAATTTGTTGATTATTGCAGTGAAAAAAAGAATACTATTCGTTTGCCTTGGGTAAAGTCGAAAAAGAGTTCAAAAAAGATGATTAAGAACATTCCAAATCCTTTTGACATCAAAAGAGAATATTCTAAATCTCAGTTCATAATGTCATCGACTTATGATTCATCTTTATACAAGCCTTTGCATTTTCCGATGTTACATCGTAATTTAGATTCCGATGTTCAGAGAACAACTCAATCCCCTATTGTTGAGTTTCCGTCCTCTCCAAAGAACATTGAAGAATCGGAATTACCTGACATCGAAGATTTATTTAAGAATGGTGAAGAGGTGGAAGATGAATTTATAGTCGTTGATATTGGTACGTCTAAGCATACATCATCAAACCAAATAGTAAAGGCTACAATAATGTCACCTGATTTATTGTTAAGAGCCTTAATTAGCTTACCTCAAGATGATTATATTCCTTTACCAAAGCAAGTTGTTCAAGTTCGATTGAGAACGGAGCATCAAGTGTAAGTGTTAATGTTTCAATTATTCAAATTTATTACGGTTATTATTTATTAAATGATAATCTAACCTTCATAATAACGTGTATTTGTTTATATATGCAGATATGAATTGCCATATAATCATCCCTTGTTACAAAATGTATGTATTTCTTTATTGAACTAATTATTTTATATGATTTAAAATGCTAATAAATAAAAAAATGAAAAATGTATTAAAAGTAGAAAATTAAATGAAAATATAACATTTATTATATTAATGTGTCATGTATTATCAAATTAACACTCTATTTAAAGAACATTATTGCTTGGAAACTAGCAAGAAGCTTGATTTCAAGTGTTATCAATTGTGCAAAGTGTATATATACACACATGAATTACGTATGATTAGCATTTGAGGATCAAGTGTTGACACTTGGTGCATATTTGCTTATGTATTCATATTTTATAATAGTGTATAGTATTATGTATCTAGAACCATTCTAATAAACCATTCTAGTAAACATTTTTATTCAAAATTTGGTTTATTATTAGAATGGTTTTAGATTTATTGAAAATTAAAATATAGAATTTTTTGATATGCTAATTTTTGAAATTAAATCCCTTTTATTTATAATATCGTGCCTTTAGGCGCTCACAATAACAAAATTATTACTCGTAATAAACTATTCTAATTAACGAATACAATAAAAAAAAAAAATATTTCATACTACATTTAATTTTATGAATATATAACTAATTTTTGTATGTGTTTTGTTATATTGTTACAGTTTGAGAGACAAATAGGGAACATTCCTTACCTTCTCGCCGTATGGACACAAGGTAATAATTTTTTTATAAAATTATTTCAACCATTATTTGCATAAATTTTCTTGTCATATAATATAATATAATGTTATTTTCTAATTGCATGAATAAAGTATTATATACTCTATATTCATAATTTATAATTTAATAGGTCAAAATATAAAGATGAGCGGTAATTTAGAAGGATCATCTGATCATGTGGAAAATGAGTGTTCAACTGACAAAGTTTTTGATGAATCTTCGACAGTGTTAGGAACAATATTGGTAAGCATTATTATATAACAAGTTTTAAAGAAAATAATTTTAATTATTTTGTATATTTATAGAGTCTGTCCTTTATAATTTGAATTGTATCACAGATTCCTGTTCGAACAGCAATGAGGGAATCTTTTCCACTCAATGGTACCTATTTTCAAATTAATGAGGTAACTAATTTGGTTTTTTATTATTTGGAATAAAGCAATTATTTTATGTTTCACATATAAAACCGAATATATTGCTCGTATATATTGTTAATTTAACATTGAATTATTATAGGTTTTTGCTGATGATGAAACTACTCAATGTCCGATTAAAGTTCCTACAAGTTTAATATGGATGTTAGAGAAACGAACTCTATATTGTGGATCTAGTACATCAGCAATATTTAAAGGTAAGTAAAAAAAAAAAAAAAAAAAAAAAAAAAGCTTATATTGCATTTTGCACCTTTTTTTTTTTTTTTTTTTTGTGTGTGTGTGTGTGTCTGTTGTTGTAATTACTAATTATGCTTGATGATTGTGAAATTCTGTTAAACTAGGTTTATTAGTGAAGGAGATCCAACAATGCTGTTGGAAAGGTATGTAATTATGAGATAATTGTATTATTAGTTGGGGTTGTTACAATATTTAAATTAACAAAGATAATTTGTTTGTGTTGTTAGGTTATATTTGTACAAGGGGGTTTAATCGGCAAACTCGAGCACCAAAGCCATTATTACCCAAATTTCATAATCGCTCACAAGTTAAGGGGAAATTGCAACAAGAAGATGAAGAAGATTATATATAATATGGAGCTGAGTACATTTGTATGATAACTAAAGTTGCATGTGTCTTTTCTTATCATCTTATGTTGTAAACATTTATTTATCAATTATTTGTAAATAGCATATTGTATAGTATAAATGCTTTTAAAGTTTTAATTCATTAGAAATTTAGAATTAGAAAGGAAAAAAAAATTCATATATTTAGCCACTAATTAATCTAGCAATTCACTCCTTTACTCCTTATACTTAAATTAAGGTATGTCGTATGCTATGTCAGGAAAGATGCACAGATAAACATAATTAACAATCACAAGCGAAAGCACAACGATCTCATTTTCCCGAATATGTTGTAGAATGAGAAATTACTACCAATCTTGAGCAAACACAATATGGACAACAAGTAAATATAAATAGCCCAGATGCAATAAAAATAAAGCACACCAAGATATACATAGAAACTAAACCAGGAAAAACCACAGGTACCATAAATCGACACCAAGCCGTATCACTAATCAATAATAATAATGCTAGAGGCTCTACAACATCAAAGAACAAAATTTGGAACAACTCATTCTCCATATACACCACTAACAAGTGGATAAACGATAAATCCGATTGTTGATACGCAATACGTAGCATGGGATAGCATGAATGTTGTGTCAAAATTTGGAGTCGATTAAGCACCGTTTGACTATCTGATCGAGCTAAAATTGTGACAACTTGGAGGACTCTCCTCTCTGCTTTCCCTCTTGTTTTGTGTGTGATATTAGCTTCTTGTGCTATTTGATTTTCCAGTTGCTTTTCTCCTTTAATTCAACCCCTTCTTTTGATTTTCTTATCACCTTTTACTTCATCTGGGTCCAAAGTTAAATACTCATATGGTTAAAACATTATACTAATATTAGCCCACTAAAATGGGGCTCATCCTCCAAGTAGGAGGGAACATCCCAACATGCTGCACCAAAATATACTCTCGTAATCAAAATTATGCTGGCAAATAACAATATCACTTTTAGGGGTGTATACAAGTGGGTAAATATTACTATATTTTCATGACATGGGTTTTTTCAATATAATTCGTGTAATCTTCAAATCTTTGAAATTATTCCGTATTTTAACATAGTCAAGTGAGATATTGATAATTCGTCGACATAGGGTTCACTCGGCTCACGAACTAGCAAAAATGCTTTTCTATAAGTCTGAAAATGTTTTTTGATTACAGAAGACGCTTGAATCGCCAACAATGGATTATCTCTCATTCTCGTTTTCGGACATCAGGTAAGATGTGTTCAGATATGGTTTTTACAAGTTGCAGGGTGGATCGTATGGATTCATAACGACTTGCGGCTTCACCTCTTGTTTTGGAAGCTAACAACTTAGATCGTGTGAAGCTTGCTCGCATTGGTCCTTCTGGGTTTTTGTCACTTAATTTAGTGGTTATCTTGTATATGTTATTGTTGTTTAGTTTTTCGCTATAAGATCTTATTGCCAAAAAAAAATAATAATAAAATAAAATAAATAATAAAATTGATTAACGCATCACATACCATACAAATTTCAAAGTTTCTTTTGGCTTCGAGTTAACTTTGGTTGTTCTCGTCAAAAAAAAAAAAAAAAAACTTTGGTTGTTCTTAAATTCTCCCACTCTATCTTTCAAAAAAAAAAAAAAAAAAAAAAAAAAGAAAGAAAAATTCTCCCACTCTAAAGTCTAAACTCTTACGGCATTTAAATTCATGCAATTTGATTGTTAACTTATTAATTAAACTCCTAATGAATCGAATTCGTTCATCTTTTACAACCTCAAGAATTCTTCTTTCAAATTACTGCACTAAATCTGCACTAACTCCTTCATCTTCAACCCCATTCAATCCTCCAACTGTTCCTCCCTCAAAACCCAGCTTAAACCCCCTTTACAAATTCCTACCAGAAACTCAAAACCCTAATAATTTAGTCAATCTCATTTGCTCTGCTCTCAAACAACCCAATTTTGAAACTACCCTTCTCACAAATCAATTGCAGGACCTCATTCCTCATTTGGGTACCCAAGAAATTTCAAGGGTTTTGCTTAGATGTCAATGTGAGTCTCAATCTGCTCTTATTTTCTTTAATTGGGTAAAAAATGATCTGGGTATTAAGCCAAATTGTCATAATTATTGTATTATTGTTCATATTTTGGTTTGGTCTCGGAAATTTGTACATGGAATGAAGTTACTGTCTGAATTGATTCGATTCGAGTCTGATGATGGTGAAATAATTGACATTTTTAAGTGTTTGGTTTCATGTTCTGAGGATTGTAATTGGGACCCTGTTGTGTTTGATATGCTTATTAAGGCTTATGTGAAAGATGGTTTGATTAAGGAAGGTTATAGGGTGTTTAGGAAGATGGTTAAGTTAGGTTATGTGCCTCATGTTTTGGCTTTTAATTGCTTGTTAAGTGGACTTTCGAAGGTGGATTGTGTTGATGAATGTTGGAAACTTTACAAAGAGATGTGGAGGATTGGTATTAACCCGAATACGTGTACGTTTAATATTTTTACTCATGTGATGTGCAAGGACCGAAATGTGGACAAGGTAAATGAGTTCTTGGAAAAGATGGAGGAAGAAGGATTTGTGCCTGACCTTGTGACTTATAATACACTTATTGGTGGTTATTGCAAAGGTCGTAGGTTGGATGACGCGTTTTATCTGTATAAGATAATGTATAGGAGGGGTGTGGCTCCTGATATAGTTACCTACACTTCGTTGATGAATGGACTCTGTAAGATTGGAAAGTTGAAGGAAGCTCATGAGGTCTTCCATAGAATGGTTGATAGAGGATTGACTCCGGATATTATGTCGTATAATTCCCTTATCCATGGTTACTGCAAAGAAGGAAGGATGAAAAATTCAAGGCTCTTGCTTCATGATATGATTGGAAAGGGGATTCTACCAGATGCTTTCACCTGTCAGATTCTTGTTGAAGGATTTGTGAAAGCTGGTAGCTTGCATTCGTGTTTAAATATGGTTGTTGAGCTTAAAAGGTTTGGAGTTGCAATTTCTTGTGATATCTACAAGTACTTGGTCATCTCTTTGTGTCAGAAGAATCATCCATTTGCAGCTGTTAAACTTTTGGATAGAATGTTGGAAGACGGTCATGAGTCAGATGGGGAGATATATGATAAATTGATTAAATCGTTCTGTGATAGTGATCTCTTAGAAGAAGCATTGGTGCATAAAAATAAGATGCTGGAAAGGAAGGTCAATCCATGTTTAGCCATGTATAAAAATCTAATAAGCTGCTTGTGCAGATTGAGAAGATGCTTGGAGGCAGAAGTTCTATTGCAAGAAATGGATTTATATGATCTTAAACCTGACAATGATATCTGCAGGGCTTTGGTGTATGCATATTGTACAGAAAATAATTCTGATAAAGCTGAATCCTTGCTTCTTTCACTTGCTATGAAGTATCAGCTTTACGATACAGATAGTTATAATTCGCTTCTTAAGACTAGGAGTGAGGAAAGCAGCGCTGCTGAATTGATGGAATTACAGGATAAAATGTTGAAATTGGGCTTTGCACCCAATGGTTTAACTTGCAAGTATGTGCTTCAAGGACTGCAGAATGCTGTTATGAAGGACAAGGACAGCCTTCAAGCCTGCTGTCAGTAACAGTAGATGAAAATTATGAAGAAGTCTGTGTGTGCGCTTGGTTTAAGCATCTTAAACTTAACAAAAATCCTATTATTTCATCATGTCCTTTGAATGATGGATGCTGATGGGAAATCTGAAGGTTGATATTATTGATTAACTTATCTTGAAGATTCCGAATTCTGAGACCACAAGGTGATCTTTTTTCTCTCTCCCTCTCTTCATTAACATCCCCACCAAAAAAAACTCCAAAAGCATTGCCTACTAACAATGCTTTTCATGGATTTATATGTTCGAAATATGAATCTGAGTTGCTGAACATATGAAAATTGTTGGAATTGGATGCTTCTGTATGATAATGTGAATAATTGAATATGTGAGTATTTTCAAACTTGTTGCCCAGAAATTTGGGGAAGGCATGGTAAACTTTAAGGACATTTATGATCTTGGATTGAGCTTTATATTCGCATTTCTGTTTTGAAATGCATTGCTGTCCACTCTAATTTTTAGTTGAAACCTGAAGATGGACTTTTCTAAGTTGCTTTTCTTTGATTTCCTTTTTATTCTGAGAGGAATGGTTTGTTGACTATGCTAAATTATTATAGAAATTGAGGAAATGCTGATATATTCTGGTTAATTATATGATGTTTTAATTGTATGGATTTGCTAGCGTAAGGCTACGAAGGAAGAATCCATTGTATGATTCATATCCCCCACCCTTTCCTTGATATACACAGTGATGTAGAGGTTATTTTCCCGACATGAAATGTTTCATATTGTTCACCATGGAATTTACTGTTGTGCCAAGTTTTTTCTATCCACCCCTCTGCCATTTTTATTTGCATGTCTTGACATTTTTTACAGGTTGAGCCATGTCTCATGGTAGTTTTGCATGTCTAGTTGGTTTGGCATCATGATGCATGTTATATTGCCTGCCCATACCTCATGATATATTGCCTATCCGTATCTGTATTTGATTTTAGAGTATGCAGTCAAGTAGTCAACCATATTATAATTTATGGCATGCCAATTGTTATGAATTAGCTAAAAGGTATATTTGTCTAATTCTCTTATTTAGGTGTTATAGATTAAAGCTTGGAGAATGAAGGTTTATCCCATAAACAGGGGATCTTAATCTTACATATTTTAATCTTTAACCTTTTGAAATAGTGAAAAGCCTATTATTATGTTTAGGATGTATAATCTCATTCATGTTACGCATTCACTATCTTGGTTCTCTTTCTCCCACCTCCCCCGTAGAAGAAGTGTATTGTTCTGTTTGGGGAAAACATTTTACTTCCGTTCTTTAAGGGACATAGCTGCTGTATGCAAATCCTGTGTCTGATCGTTTTTTCGAATTAAAAAAAAAAAAAAAAACACTGATAAAGGAATGAAGAATTTAACGTTTAATAAAATACTCTTTTGTCATCCTGTGCCTAATGTGTTTATGTTTACTTATCCCTGACACTGGGTTCTATTGTTAGTGTAGGCTTGTAGAGTCTGGTGCCAAATTGCCAACACAGTTTCTTAAGCTTTCCTTGTCTGTTGGGTCTTGACTTGCCAGTTCTCTCTGGTCATAGTTTTAGAATATGATGGTTGCCAAAGGTCTATATTATTAAAGAAACTATCTTTGCTAAGCTGCAATATACATCATTATTACATACCGGATTGAAGTTATCATTTACCAATGTCAAGGATAATAGCAAAATATTGAATCATAATAACATAGATGACTATTAACAATCTAACCTGCACATATTTCATCCTTTGAATAATACACTGTATGTGCATGCTAGGGTATATCATTACCATGTTAGGTAGTAAAGATGTTGGCACTTCTAAAATTCTCAAAACAGATGGATAGTAATCTGTAGCTCACTGAAGGTATTGGTAGGATACTTGCTAAAGTAGTTGAAGCATTAGTTTTAATAGAAATAAAAGTAGGTAATGCTGTAAGGGAGTATCCTTTGTAATCTTTTTTATATATCCTGACACATGGTTTAAAGTCTTTGAACCTATTCATAATCTCAAGCTATCCATCATTTTCCTATTCTCTATGTATAGTTAGAACTTTCCTTTTACAACATCCTAGGAGTATAGAAGACTGTGGTCCGAATTCCTTATGGGGTGGGGCTCAGTTCAAACACGTCCTGCTGCAGAAACATCCTTGTTGATCGATGGTGCCTGACACTCTGACAGTTAAACTAATGCAGAGTATTGATGTATTTGAAAGCATTTTGGCAGTGCCTTTTACGTTCATTAGTAAACATATGAGTGCTTTTTTCATTAGTAAACATGTGTATTATCTAATTACTCAAAACTATATTTCAAGAAGAGTAATTACTACAAAGTATATATTTTTGGACATTCTACCACAGTTTATGTTGCTATTAATTCCAAACAAAGAGATGGTAGTTTTTGGCATATTGCTCTTTATATACTCGTTATGGGAGAAACCTAAAGATTATGTTTTAGGTGCAGACACTAATTGCTCACATTGCTTTGTACTAGATAACCAAGAAAAAAGTCTTTCAAAAATCTTTCCAGGCCGATACAACTTTTATCTAGAAATTCATCCCTTGATCTATTTATTGTTTAAAATCTTTACGTGCACCCAATATTTGTACTTAGCCAATAACCAATACCACCAGTCCACCATATCGACTTACCCAAGCAGTCAATCATAGTTTTGCTGCCAACAGCAGTTACATGATCCAATTTTGGCAGTTCATTTGTACTTGAAATGAAGAAGTGATTTTCTTGTGGAGTAAAAAATCATGTTATGAGTGTGAATTAGGTGCCTACATTTCTGACCTATGGCAAGAAACCAGGAAAGGGGTATGTGTCCAGGATTTATAAACTTCCTATTGTTTGGGCTTAAGGTTGGAGTGAAGAATTTGACTCTGTCTGGACTCAAGGGCTTTACATAGTGGACAATGGTACTTGCTGTTCGATATTTTATTTTTGTTTTTCTATTTTATAGATGGGAATGGGATGATTGATGAGTTTCTATTTAAAAGTTGGAACTTTGTTTCTTCTTTTGCTGTTTGCTGTGGCTACTTACTCAGCATGTACTCAGTAACAGAAATATTTTAGACTAATAGAGTTTCCGTTTTACTAAGATAATGTGCTGCACTGTGAATTACATTTTCTGATATATCCAGTTGTAATTACATATATGTTTGTCATTTACAGGTGCCACATAATTATATAAGTTGTGTGAACTTCAATCTAGTCAAAAATCTCTTCTGTAATTTGCATGACTGGATAGTTTTATGGCTCGGTCATTGACAAAAATGATCTACAAAGGTCACTCATATTTAATGTAGTTCTCAAACTCTAATTGCTGCAAAACTTTGCCCTCAATTAGACTCCAGAAGTCCTGAATTGTTATTCTAATTAATGTATTTTTTTATTTATTTGGCTAAATCTTAAGCAATGGTGCTTTTCTTTGTCAAAATGATCTTACATCTGATAGTTAGTGCATATGTAGTTGTTTGTCGCCTTGTAGCTTATGCTCAATTACACAGAAAACTAATGATGTTGTTGTGTTTGTAGGACTTAATTTGATGATATTTGGAGCATATTATATTTCTTCTCAAACATAAAAGGACATGGATTGCGTTATGGCTGTTTAATTATGGGAATATGCCCAGGGATCAGTTCACCACCGTAAAGGGAACATCTGTTGGTTGCGTAAGCAATCTGGGAATGTTTGATTGAAGGTGTTGCTTTCCTGAGAGTGAACTCTAACTGAGTATGATGCCTGAGGAACTCCGCCTGAAGAGGAAGAATGTTTTAGTAAGCCTTTTTCTCCGTTGATTTTAAACTTTACTATAATTAGAAGCTGTAGGTCAACTTCTCATCCATATCTGATGCATCAATGACTCAATAAATTTTTTTTTTCCCGTTATCAAGACTCATTATATGGTGTTCCATTTTCAATGCCTTGTCTAATTTGTGTACCTTTAAAAAAGACATCTTATCAATATTATATTAGGAATTAAATGGCTGGACCCACTTTGATTTTTTGCATCAGATGAATAAAAACAGTCATCAGTCATCGTGGAATAAACAAGCCATTTGGTTGCATTGAGAGTATAATATCTTAGTCCAAAAATAATATCTCAGATTACTATGTGGAGCAACACCCTTTATTTGATGCTTATATCTTCTTGAATGGAAGGACCAACTCTTGAGTTTTTCTTGCTGAAATGTTAGCAAAAGGTCCTAAATTCTTGAACGCTGAAACTAAATACTCTCCTGCTATTTTACCGCTGTCAAAAACCTTCTGTACTGTGTTGTATACTTGTATACAGTACTCTTTATTCCTTAATAATGGGTAGCATTTGGTTGAGAATTACGACTTTTAATAAAGAAATTGAGCTAAAACATCATAAATGTTCTTCATTAGATAAAAAATTACAATTCTGTTGCACCAATATAGTTCTGCATAGGATTTATTTTATAGTGATATGGAAAAGCACAAAATATGAACAATTAATTGTTGATTTTTGTTTTTTTAAAAAAAAAAAAATTTAACTGGTTGACTACTGCTGGGAAATTTTTTGGATAAAAACTTTTTTGCATCCTAACTTGTGTATTTCATGATGTTTTTTTTTCCCTGTGCTACATGTTGCTTTTAACCTTCAAAAGAGGGACTTTCGGGAAAGATAATTTCTCAGATAAATTTGAATTATTGTATAAAATAAATTCAGATACCAATCACAACTAAAATAAGTTTGAATAAGGTCAAATAGCCTTATGTTTTTGCGAGAGAAAGTAGTCTTAGTATGTTTAGCGTAGGTACTCTGTATAACTTAATTCTTCCCTTGACTTACTTGATTTTATTATTTCAGGAATGCGACTTTGTGATAAGCATGCACACTTAACTACAGTTTTGTGGTGTTGGAAATTGTTTCTAGAAGAACACCAGAGATCATAGCTGCTGGTGAGTGGACGTTTACGTATCTAATTAGATAGAATGCTTTAATTTGTTGTCTCTTCCTATTCATGCAATCATGCTATATTATATTGCATACACCAGCTGATCTGTAATAGCATTTTTCGTCGTAATAATCTTTTTTAATGAGATGATTCTGGACCTGCTAATTATGTTTTGACTATTGAGTTATCGAAATTCCTTAACTTGGGATGTGTCATGTGATTATACTGTCTAAATGCCTATTAAGACATTGTAGGTTTGTAGCTAGTCACCTTAGATTTGGTAGTATTGTCTGAGATTTATTATTCTGGAAAATTCAATACTCTGTTTAGCCTCTAAATGAGTGTTTTTATCCAAAGGTACCTGAGTGAGTTCTACATGCGAAAAGAAATATTTATTGATCTGTATCATGTGCAAGAGCTAGCACCTTGCTTCCTAAAGACGCGCACCCTCACCTTGTGCCTTGGTGCACCTCATGGCTCTTAAAACTAAGGCTGCACGTTCAGAAATCGTTATTGAGTCTTGTGAGTTTTGAAATAAGTATGTTTAATACAAGTAATAATTTGTTTAATACTCTGACTAAGTCATGTATTGGACGGTATCACAATTGCTGTGAGAGTGGAGTGACTTAATGACACACTTATCTGTTTTTGACCTTCTTAATAAACAAATTAAATTCAATTTGTTTTACTTATATGTTTAACTTGATGATATACGTATAATCCAACTTAATTTGTTTGGTAACTCTGGCTCATAATGTTTTTGTTAAAGTTTGTAATTCATCATTTTAGAGACATTCATGATTCTTGTTTAACTATAAGAAGTGTTTTTGTACTTTTGTACTGCACATTGATGAAGTGGCTGAGTATGATTTAACATTAATTGAATTGATGAATGTGTCATTTTATAATACTGGATTGAAAGATAGGTCAAGTAATAGATGCATTTATTGGCCACCGAAAGTTATAGAAGTACTTGTCAAAACTAACCATAGTAGTGTACTCCGTACTTCCTTCCTTTATACTTCTGTAGTACATGTAATCAGTTTAACTTTCATGTTTGTCAAAATGTCAACTGCACAATTCTAGCGATTAATATAATCAACATACCCAGTAAAATTTTTAGTAATAATCCAACTATAATTCAAATGACTATTAATTTTTGATTTTTTTTTTAAGGATTAATTTTTGATCTATTAGTTAAAGTTTCCTAAAAAAAAAGTTAAAAGTATACTGAGGTTATCAAATAAATTATGCAAAGGTGAATTTGTCGTATGTATTGAAAAACTAATGAGGAAGACCTCCTGGTGCAACCGAGGGGTCGTCTTGCATTCAGGGTGTGAGGTTCAAGCCTCACCCTGAAAAAATCTTTTCCCCCTACCACTTAGGCATTGCTAGCTAGGGCTCCTGTGATAGAAGCCTTGGCCGGGGCCAAGTTAACCTTACCATAGTATTAAGAAAAAAAAAAGGTGTATTGAGAAACTCATGATTTAAATTGTAAACAATGAATAAGAATACATAAATTTTAGTTGGTGAATATTAATATAAGAATTACACTTTGTTTGGATAGGAAGAAATGGAAAGAAAAGAAGAGAAGAAAAATGGAGGGGGACAAAATCTCTTGTTTGGGTAAAAGATTGGGGGAAGGAAGGGAAAGGAGAGGGAGGGATTCATTTTCCCTACCGCTTTAATAACCATAATCTCTCCAAAATTGGAGAGATTTGGAGGGAAAATGGAGCTCACCTCCCCCTCCCTTTCTTTTCCCTTCCCTTCCTCCATTTTCCCTCCCCTTCTTTTCCTTCCTTCTTTGCTATCCAAACAAAGCGTTAGTTAGGGAAGAGTAGTATTAATAGTTTAGTCCTTGTCATTTTTATGCTGGTTATTTTCATTACTAAGTTAATGAGTAATATAAGAATTAGTTAGGGAAGAGTAGGAAGGTCAAGGAATGGTAGTTTGGAGATGTAAATGTGAGGAGGTTGATCACTGATGAGAGTTAGTTAGAGTTATTGTAATAAATTTGGCTTCAGTTTTAAGTACTCCATTGTCTTAAAATGAAAAGAGACTTTGGGAAATTCAATTACCTTAAAATTTTGGCTTCAGTTTTAAGACAAATTCTTAGGCCATATTGTCAAGATAAGGAGAAGAGAAAAAGGGGGTGTTTGACTGACAGATAGGCAAAAAGAGAGGTTTAATAAGTTCAAAACTTTAATAGAAGTGTTGTTGAGAGAGGTTCAATGGCTTTATAAAGAGAGATAGGCAAAAGCTAACGAAGGTTTCGAGGGCGTTGGATAAGCTAGCTAAAAGTAGAAAGATTAAATTAAAATGAACATTAATTACACCGATCGACGTGTAATTTTGTCATGCTTTTCCAAAGTAATACCACTTTAAGCAATATTTTAAATGATTATCCAACACCGCCGGGGACATTCGTTAACAAGATTTTTTTTTTTAATAAGTAATCTAATTTGACGAAGTATTTGGTATGCGACCCTAAGCTTGTTGTCGTCCACGTGACCAAGGACTAGGGTATGGTTGTTAACTTGTTATATTGCTATTTTCTAAGACAGACAGGAATTAAATCATCTCATCAGCTTGGGAATGTAACCTTTTATGCCAGAGTTTGAACTACTGCAGTAAGTAAATAGCCGTTGTACAATCTACAGTTTGTTTGTACCTATCTACTACTCCCTATCATTAAATTGACTTGACATAACTTCCCAACTTTTCTTATATATAGTTGACTTCATTAATAACCTCCTTTTTAAAAATATTTCAACTACCTGGACGTAAGTTTCTCTGCATGGCTTTCATCACTAAATTTTCCCTTCTTCTTTAGACCACTTATTAATTTTCTCGTACTTCCCTTCTTAAATTCCTTATCTCATACCGCCCCGCCCATCTCTACTCTTGGTATGTGTTACTCCGTATTACTCAAACCTTTTATATCAAAACACGTACCTTTATTGAATATACTCGCCTTTATAACCTTTAGTAGATACTTGATTCTTCATACTTCATTTTGGATCTACAATTTGATATAACCTTCGTAAAAGGGTTTTCATTTTGGCCCTATTCTTTGGAATTATTTAGCCGCATTTTTAAATCTATTGGATAAAGGTATTTGATTGCAAGGGATGGATGAGGAAGATTTTTGTGAATGACTATACAATATAAACACTTTTGATTCATGTAGCCAACACCAATTATGGGATTAAGGCTTTGATCGATTAAATCTATTGCAATTCAGCTTAGTTCAAGTGACATAGCATTTGGTTATGTGACTACTTCACTCTAACCTTCTCATATGCATATCCAATGCATTAAGGGCCTAGGGCTAGGTTCTTAACAAAGGCCTTTTGGTGGAGTGTTTTTTTTTTTTTTTTGATAATGTGAATTGTTTGATAATCCTCATTGAAATATTTGAGGAGAAAGGTACACAAACTAGATTACTAGAAGTAACCCAAATGTTGAGGTAGATTTCATCCCGTTTATGCAAAATTCTTTAAGGAATTGATAGCTACTTTTTCTCAAGGATACCTTTCCTCGAGGGACTACCTTGTCTTTATGAGGATTGACACTATGGTTAATGATTTCGTTCTTTAATTGTGTGATTAGTGTAAAATTTTGTTCAAGAAAGGATTCAATTAACATCAAGTTGACAATTCTTACCCTCTTGATATAATTCATCGTTACCTTTTGATGTTTTTGTTCAATTTTGGGATCATATATTTAAAGAGAATATAGATATAAATATAAATATAATAATCATCTATAAAGTCAAATTTTAAAATATTTTTCCTAAGAAAATAGGGATGCGGCTGTTCAATGCCTACCATGGGGCTACATAGGTTGGCCCGTGGATGTACTAAATAGATTAATTAATAAAATAAGGGCTATTAATTATTATACATCAGTTTCCTGGAAAAAAAAATCCTCTAGTTTTTCACAAGAGGAAAAATCCATGAAACCATTGAAACCCTTAGCTTTTTACCTGAATTAACCATCTTTGTATAACAGAGGTTAAAAATTTTCACAAACTAATCTATATTCTAATTAAAGTATTTATGTTTAAGTCATAAAATTAGCTAATACGCTCCATAAATTACACTTTTATGGCTTGTGATGCTGAGTGTAAATGTAGTCCAAGTGAACTTCTGAAACCATTCTTCTCTTCAAGCACTCCTCATCTCCATTCCCACAAATCTCTAATCCCATCAACTCCTGAAAATGGTTATAAAACAATAATTATCATGCATTAGTTTTTTTTTTCCTTCTAACAAATAAGATTCAAATTTGTAAAACTTTCAAAAAAGAAAAAACAAGGTAACTTTTAGTTAAAGCTTACATCTATGGAATCTTTGTCTTCTAACTTCGGAAATGAAACTTCAGTCGGGATTGGATGATTTTGCTCATCTTTGTGCTTAAGTTCCAGTAGACGAGTGGATGTTCTCGGAAGAGAGAGGCCAAGGAGGAGAAGTAGAATAGAATAGGAGATAAATTTGTGCATCATGTAGTTGACTATTTAGTTTATGATGATAATCTTGTGTATGTGGTGTTGTAGAGAGAGAGAAAGAGAGGAAAAGGAGACAAAAAGCTAGAGTTCCTTAATTGTTTTTTGGGGAAGAAATAAAGAAGAGTTTTGAGTTCTCTTTGAGTTGAGCAAAATGAAGGAAGTTGGAAAATGAGGGTGGCAGATGAAAGGGGACATGAAGCATTTAAATACATGCTACAATCTATGTTAGTCACATGTAGCCACCCTTAGATAAAAAGAAGGTACAGAACCGCAAAACTTGGACCCCATGCATGCATTATTATCATTGGAGTGCCTAATTACCTAATAATTATGTACCTAATGGGAGCAAAATTGATAAAGACTTATTTAAGTAAGGCCTTGTTCTTTTGAGCTTTTGGGTAGAGCACAACAGAGCAAATTTCAGCAGAGAAGAGCCGAGCAGAGCAGAGCAGAGCAGATTTCATTATTATTGTTATTATTAATATTATTAATAATATTATTGTTATTATTATTATTATTATTATTATTATTATTATTTGTTTTTATTATTCAATATTAATATTTAATAATATTATTATTATTAAATATTAATTATTATTATTTAATTATTATTATTTAATTATTATTATTTAATTATTATTATTTATTTAAATATTAAGTATATTATAATAATTCAATATTAGTATTATTTTTAAGCAGGGCAGAGCAGAACAGAGCAGATTTCAGCAGAGCAGAGCAGAGCAACTCTAAAGAACAGGGCCTAAGCGGTGTCAAAAACTAAACTATATCCAACCTAAATAGAAAGTGACATGATTCAAATTTGACTTGCATGGGCATAAATATTATATAACATGTCTCAAATTTAAATTACACATGACCTCACAAACCTGACTCGTTTAATAATTTTAACTTATTAATGTCAAACCTAAATTATTTTGATGTTGCATATATAATTGGTTTTGTCATTACCTCATATAACCGTGTTTGGTCCTCAAAATGCTTGAAAATTTTTTAACTTGATTTTTTACATATGCAATATGTTGATAATATGATTTATCTTCATTAAAGATAGTCGTGTCCAACACATGAACATATACTCGCAATTGATATAAGTTCTTGTATCCAAGTAAAATGAGACCACTTTGCTCAAATTGAATATTCAAGATACTTGGTTGGACGTAAAAACTATTTTTAAAGTTTTTTCTTATAAATATAAATAAAGTGTTAGCTGACAACAAAAATGCAAATTGAAAATTTTGAAATGAAATTTCACTTACCTAAGGGAAGGTAAGAATTAATATTAATTCGTACTCGCCAAGTTGCCATGTCAAATAATTTAAGATTGTTTCAAGTTCCTTTCCAAGTCTTTACTTTTTTGGCTTATCAAATTCTCTTATCTCACATAGTAGAATAATAATTAGGTATTATTTATAATTTATTTATTATTATTTTTTTTTTCCCTTTTTAGGTAAGATGAAAGACCCTACTGAATTGAAGCCTTGTATAGGTTAATTCAACTAGTTTTTTTGGTCAATGCTTGAGAGAAGAAGGGGAAGGTAAGGGAATTCCCCTACTTTCCCAATCAAATGTAGTTAGTGGGGTTCAAACTTGTGACCTCAAATTCACAAGGCGAGTTCCCAAGCAACACTACGCAGTATGTAGACATGGTTATTGGGTGGGTCGAGTCAAGGTCGGTGTGAGTCGATTGTAGGTTGGGTAAAAACGGGTCACATTTTATAAGGTCAATAGCGAGTCGGGCCAATGTGTGTCGTGGGTCAATAACGGGTTGATAATGGACAGACAACAAAATATCAATTAAAATAAATATTAAACAAAGTCACTATTAAGTATACATAAATACAAATTTATCTATGTAATTACTTTTACATTAGCTATTTTATTTGTCTATCAAATTGGAAAAACATTTTGGCTATATATTGACCCAACCTTATAAGATTCATGTCCATTAAAAGTCCTTTAAGCTTGACTCTAACTCTATTATCATTGGGCTATCTTATTCAATAATCAGCTCTAGACTCTAGTGGTATGTACTTACTAAAAATATTCAATACTAGCTCTATTTTCTTTAGTACCTCAATTGATTTTTGTGCTATTCACATGCTTTGACCTATGTCAATATTTTATTCATAATATTACACTTAGACTTGTAGTTACTTATTAAATTTGTCTACATGTATATTTTTAATTATCGTCTTGTTATGATTACATGTAAATAATTATAAATATTATTAGTTAAAATGTTGCATTAACAGTACAAATGTATATTGTGTGTTTGGTTCATCAAGTTGGAATAAATGGGCATAAAAATCTCATACTAGAAAGTTATGGATTCTAAAACTTATACTAGTCCAATGTAGTTGGTTCTGTCGTTGGAATGAATTTTATCTTTTATTAAAAGAATGGATTGTGAATTTTAGGGGGAGGGGTCGGGTGGGTATGGGATTGTGGATTGCTAAACATCGCCCGCAAATCTCCACATAAAGTCCACAAACTTATATTGAAGTTACAATATTGCCCTTGACCTTAAAAAAAAAAAACACAACCTCAATAAAAATCAAAGTACGGGGATGTCGAGGCTCGTGGCGGCAAGGTAGTGGTGGCTCGTGGCGGCAAGGTGGTGGTGGCGCCAGGTCCGGCAGCCACGTCCACCGGCCTGGCGTCTGGGCAGGACGCCCAGCCACGGTGAGTGGCGTTTGGGACAGGCGCCAGTCACTGTGGCTGGGTGTCCTGCCCAGACGCCAGGCCGGTGGACGTGGCTGCCGGACCTGGCGCCACCACCAGCCACGGGCCGTCCTGGCCAGGCGCCCCAGCTGCCTTAAATTTTTTTTTTTTTTTTTTTTTTTGGAAAATCAGAAAATTTTTCTAATTTTTTTTTTAATGTGTTTGATTTTTTTTTTTAATAATTATTAATTTTATGTGTTATTTTTTATAAGTCTAGTATATATATTTTTTATAAAATCAAATAAAAAACATAAATTTCCACATCCTAAATCAAAACATAAATTTAATAAACATAATTTAAAAAAAAAAGGCAAAAAAAAAAAAAAAATTAAAAAGTAAGGGCGGCGTCCAAACCAGACGCCAGTGCACTGGTGGTGGCGCCTGGCCTGGACGCCAGTGCACTGGTTGAGGCGCCTGGGCTAGACGCCAGTGCACTGGTTGTGGCGTCTGGCCTGGACGCCAGTGCACTGGTTGTGGCGCCTTGCCTGGACGTCCTTGCCATGGTTCCGGCGTCCAAACTAGGCGCCACCTCGTTTTCCGTCGAAGACGACGTATCTCCGGCGACCCTCGCCTCTCCGGCCTCCTGGGCAACCCAGTACGACTCCACATTTGTTAGATCGAGATTTGTTCACTTTGGGTACGATTTTAGAAATGGGCAAAATTGTCAAACCATGTCTAATTTGTGGGCTTTATGTGGAGATTTGCGGGCGATGTTTAACAAATCCCATGGGATTCCATTGGTATAGAAAAGAGTTAGAACTCCTTGGGTATGAGATTCCATTACAAAACCTCAATCAAACAAAAAATTAGATCAACCTTATTCCAACCCAGTCTAAATGATCAAAACAAGTGATCCCTAAATTATTAATCTGTCAATCAGATTAGATACTTAGAAAAACAATGAGAATACAACTACTACCTCTATTTCATATTATTTGCAACGATTACACATTTTTTTCTCTTTACTTTATGTCAAATCATTATAAATAATATGAAATGGAAATAGTAATAAAAGTGATAGAGATGATGAGACAAACATTAAGAGACAAGGAAAAATAGTTTACTATAGCTTTTACTCCCTCCGTTACATATTACTCGTAACAATGAAATTTATTTTATGTCTCACAAATAATACTCTTTTGTTGCAAGTAATTTGTAACGGTGGAAGTATGTCATAACATGCTCAAGTGTGCTGTATTGTGGTAAAAGGAAAACGATAAAAGAAGCTTGGGATGTGTCATCTTCCTATAGGTGGTCCAAGTAAAGTCCTAATTTATATAAACAAAAGGTTAAAGTGAGTATAAATAGTCTTACTACTGACAGTGTAAAAAAAGTCAACCTTTTAGACATTGCTGACAGCTGTTCTCCAATGTTCACGTGTTTTGCCATACATGTTCTGACACGTGTCAGATTCGCATGCCGAACGTGTAAACCATGAGGAGGAACTTGATTGAAATTCTAAAAGCAGAGGTGACTTCACAAATCACATCACCTTATATATTCATGCTTTTATGCTTTTCCTTTTCGTTTTTGATGTTGCTGCCCACATGTAAGCTACTCATGCACTTAAAACAGAAATTGATTTTGGCAAACACCAACATAGAAAACTGTGTTCCCGTCAAAATCAATTAAAGGTATGCCAAAATCATTTTTCCGACATAAAACCTATTCTTTTAATATGAAATACAGTAGGGTGTTTTGCTATAATTTTATGGTACTGTGTCATATCATGAGACTTATGATGAGCTTACAACTAAAGTTTCATCATATACACCAAGCATAGAACTTTACATTTCATAATAATAAGGTTGTGTGATCACGAGTAGTGATAGACCACTACCAGATATGGTCTCATTGGATCCATACCAGGGGCAAATATGTAATTTTGTGCAATATTTCCATGGTAAGTCATCATATTGTACTATGGTGTAAAAAAAATATTCTCTCTCTTACGATTCTACAATAACAGTATTCAACTCTATGATAACTGTATTAAAATTAACCATTACAGTATACAATTCAATAATAACAGTATATAAGTCAATAATAACGGAGCACCGACAACCAACCTCTAACCCCTCATATCCAAAATCTTTCGATATGTGGGAATTGAACCCACCGTTTTTCATGGCTGCAATTGTAAGTATAGACCTTGAACATTCTTCGTCAACCTTCGACTATCATCTTTCATCAACCAAACTTCGAATAACTCCTTTAATTTGAATCAGCCACAAAATTCTCACCTTCAGTACATCGAGCACCGCTCCTTGAAAGGAAGATTACTGCAACTTTGATGAGGTTTTTGTGAGACTGATTTTCCGACCACCGGAGCTTTTTCTCGTGAGTGGTAGTTTTTTGAGTTCCTGTTTTTTTCACCCTCTAATCCTTCTTCCTTTTCCATTTTGTTTTAGCTTTTTAAATTTTACAATTTTTTTTATGTATTTTTTTTTATTGTGGTATGGACTCGAACTATCCAT